AATTCAACATATTGATTTTTAATTTTGTTAGTGTGATTAGTGCTTTCTGTGACTTTCATAAGACATCTTTGCTGATCCTAACTGTAAATGGTATTTTCCAGTCATTCTCTAGATTTATTATAGTTTTAGATTTTATATCTCTCTTGGAATAATTTTTATTGATATTCGGTAGGCATGGAGGTTCACTTTCTCCCCCCATATGAATTTTCTAGTATTCAGGTGATTGTGATCAAATTTTCCATATTCTTACTGATTTTTCATGAATTTGCTATATCTCCCTTTACTTTTGTTAATTTTATTTCAAGTACTTTGAACTTTGTTACTAGATGCAGATATATTTTAAGATTGTTAAATCTTCTCGATGAATTCATCCTTTTATCATTATAAAATGCTTCTTTGCATATCTTTATCTTTCTGATTAAAATATTTGATAGAGTTCTTGAAAAAACATAAATAATCTTAAAAATGTCTAGTAATCTAGATTACTTTTTTAAAATTTATTTTTTTATTTATTTGAAAGAGTTACAGAGAGAGGTAGAGACAGAGAGAGAGGTATTCCATCTGCTAGCTCACTCCCCAGATGGCTGCAATGGCTGGAGTTGCGCCAATCCGAAGCCAGGAGCCAGGAGCTTCTTCTGGGTCTCCCACATGGGTGTAGGGTCCCAGGGACTTGGGCCATCTTCTACTTCTTTCCTAGGTCACCACTGAGAGTTGGATCAGAATAGGAGCAGCCAGGACTAGAAGCGCCCATATGGGATGCCAGCGCTTTAGGCCAGGGCTTTAACCCACTCTGCTGCAGCGCTGGCCCCATCTAGATTATTTTGTATTTGATTTGTGTTTCTCTTGTATATTCTGTTCTTTTTTCTTTTCTTTGGGTTACTTGAGTATTTTACAGTATTCTGATTTCTTTATTTTGTTAACTAATTTTTTAAAAGATTTATTTATTTTTTTTGAAAACAAAGTTACAGAGAGAGAGATTTTTCCATCACTGGATCACTCCCCATATGGCAGCAAAGGCCAAGGGTAAGCCAAGTTGATTCCAGGAGTCTGAAACTCTATCTGGATCTTTAGTAAGACGAGAAGGAGCCCAAATGCTTGGGCCATCTAATGCTGCTTTGCCAGGCATGTAAACAGGGAGCTGAATCAGAAGTAGAGCAGCTGGGATGCCATTGTCACAGGCAGTGGCTTTAACTTACTATGCCACAACACTGTCACATTCTGTTAATTTTTAAAAAATAATTTATTAATTTTTCACTTTATTTTGGGAGATACAGTAACAGAGAGATCTATCATCTGATCACTTCCCACATGCTTAAAACAGCGAAAATTGTTCCTGGCCAAAGCCAGGAGTACGGTATTATGCCCAGGTCCTTCACATGTGTGGCAGGGACTGTCTAATATCTCCCCTCCCAGGGTGCACATTAGCAGGAAGCTGGATTGGAAATGGAGGAACCTAGGACTTGAACCAGGCACTGATATAGGGTGTGGGTGTGCCAAGCAGCATCTTAACTGCTGGGCCAAATGCCTGCCTCCTCTTTTGATTTTTTATGTTTTTCTTTCTTTTTCTTTTTTATGTTTGCTCAGAGATTACAATATGCATCTTTCATTTATCACAGTCTATTTAATATTTTACTGCTATAAGAACAATGTAGGAACCTCACTGTACCTGAAATTATCCACATCCTGCTTGTTTTATATTCCTTTTGTTACACATTTTAATTTTACATAGGTTGTAATCCCCATAGTACAATGCTCCTTCTTCCTTAAATAGTCAATAGTCCTTTGCACATGCTTGATTATCTTTGTGAGCTTGTCTAAACACACACATAATCGTTTTAAAAGACCGTTGTAATTGTTGGCACATTTACCTTTCTGGTGCTCTTTATTTCGTTTTTGCAGAAATAAGATTCTAGTATCATTTCCTTTCTACTAAAAGAAATTCTTTTCACATTTCTTATAGCACAAATCTGCTGGAGGAAAATATTCTTAGCTTTTGTCTGTCTGAGAAGATATTTTCTTTGTCTCTTCATTTTGGAAGGGTGTTTTCACTGAATGCATCATTCTAGGTTGACAGGATTTTTATCCTTTCATTCTTGTCTTTGGACAGAATCATTGTTCTGATTGTCCCTCTATATAAAATGTTGCTTCTCTTTCTGACTGCTTTTACTATTTTCTCTTTCACTTTTCAGCAATTTGACTCTTAAGAGTGTAGTTTTCTTCTTATTGATTCTGCTTGGATTTTTACCAAGGTTCTTAGATATTTGGGTTGGCATTTTTCATCAACTTCAAAAATTCTTAGTTGTCATAGCAAACATTCTGCCATATCTTCTCAGTCTTTACCCTTTGAAACTGCAGTTAGATGCATGTGAAGTCATAAAGGAAAAACAGTTATAGGCTGCTGTCCCACAACCCTTGTATTACATTTTTTAAAACTTCTTTTCCTCTTTTTTGTATCTTACTTTGAATAATTAAAAATTAAGGGGTAAACTTCTTATCAATACCTCAGGATTTAAAAAAAGGTCACTATTGTTATTCTAATACTATCATGTCTCATTTTAGAAAAACACATTCTTGAGTTTAGATTCTCAGCTCCACCACTATCTGCAGCTTCCATGATAGAAGGAAATATTGTTTAAAAACATTGATTAGAACTAAAAAAAAGAAAACCTTTTGTTTTCATTGTTATTTAATAGTGAATCAGATTCCAAAATACTAACAGACCTTCAGTATAAGAAATTAATTTAATGTTTTTTTAAAAAATTTTATAATTCTGCTTACTAATGTAAGTTTTACTGAATTTTTATTGCTATTCATGTATTTATATAAGTATCTTATGTTAATATATAAAAATTTGCCTCATTCGTTTTTTTTTTTTTTTTTTTGCAGTGCAGAACTATATTTATTTAGAACAAAACATGATCTCCTACATTTAAAAAATAATAATTTTATAAAAACCGGATTTCAGTCAGTCACATCTGCTTCTCATTGAATGGTGCAAGTTGCAACTGCACTTGGCAGAAATCTTGACAATGTCCTCTACTGCACTCCTCACTTCAGCCTATGTTTTTCTCGGTAGACACAGGTTCTTCCAGAGTTTTCTTTTGGCCTCCCCTTCCGAGAATATTTGTATTTGTCTACATAGGCTTTTACCAGATTTGCCACTTTCGTAGAGTTTACTTCTCCACTCTTACTATGACAAACTTTATCCACTGCTTTCCGCACAATCTCCTTATATTCTTCCTTGGTGATATCTTTATTTTGATAAAATGGCTTAATGGCCAATTTTACTTCCTGTGCTGCTTTCTCTTGAATTTGCAATTTCTTGTCTGTCTTCGAGCTATCTGCGCTGGCTTCCACTGTGACACTTACTTTGCTTTCTGCCAATTTCACAGCAGCATTAGAGGCCCTGCCGTGACTTGATGACGAAGTGTTACCAGCACTTGGTCCCTGAACTGTTCCCACATTTGCAGGGGCTGCTGGCGGAGCAGGCAGGACTGGTGTGCTCATGTTATTACTTACATGAGAAGCATTGGGAATACCCTGCAGTTGCTTTCCCTCTGGCTGTGAAGCCATGTAGCTCATCTGCTGGGTGGGAGGAGGCGGGGGTGGGGGTGGGTCATTCGTTTTGCTTTCATTTGAATACTTTACTTTTTCTTTTTAAATATTTATTTATTTATTTGAAAGGCAGAGTTACAAAGAGGCAGAGGCAGAGAGAGAGAGATCTTCCATCTGCTGTTTCACTCCCTAAATAGCCGCAATGGCCAGAGCTGGGCTGATCTGAAGCCAGGAGCTGGTAGCTTCTTCTGGGTCTCCCATGGCAGTAGCAGGGGCCCAACCACTTGAGCCATTTTTTTTTTTTTTACATACAGAGTGGACGGTGAGAGAGAGAGAGACAGAGAGAAAGGTCTTCCTTTGCCGTTGGTTCACCCTCCAATGGCCGCCGCAGCCGGTGCACTGCAGCCGGCGCACCGCGCTGATCCGAAGCCAGGAGCCAGGTGCTTCTCCTGGTCTCCCATGCAGGTGCAGGGCCCAAGTACTTTGGCCATCCTCCACTGCACTTCCGGGCCATAGCAGAGAGCTGGCCTGGAAGAGGGCCAACCGGGACAGAATCCAGCACCCCGACCGGGACTAGAATCTGGTGTGCTGGAGCCGCTAGGCAGAGGATTAGCCTATTGAGCCGCGGCACTGGCTTTTTTTTTTTTAAAGATTTATTTTATTTATTTGAAAGAGTTACAGAGAGAGGTAGAGACAGAGAGAGAGGTTTTCCATTCGCTGGTTCACTCCTCAGACGGCCGCAACGGCCAGAGCTGCGCCAATTCGAACCCAGGAGCCAGGAGCTTCTTTCTGGTCTGCCACGTGGATGCAGGGGACCAAGTACTTGGGCCATCTTCTGCTGTTTTCCCAGGCCATAGCAGAGAGCTGGATCAGAAGTGGAACAGCTGAGTCTCAAATTGATGCCCTTATGGGATGTTGGCACTGCAGGTGGCAGCTTTACCTGCTATGCTACAGCGCCAGCCCCTTTTTCTTTTCTAAAAAGATTTTTTCATTTACTTGAAAGGCAGAATGACAGAGAGAGAACTTTGATCTGCTGTTTCACTACTCAAATGGCTGCAATGACTGCAGCTATGCCAGGCCAAAGCCAAAAGCCCAGAATTTCATCTGAGTTTCTCACATGGGTAGCAGAGGCCCAAGCACCTCGGCCATCTGCTGCTACTTTCCCAGGTGCATTAACAGGGAGCTGAATCAGAAGTCGAACAGCTGGGACTTGAACTGGCATTCTGATATGGGATGCCAGTGTTCCAGGTGATGGTTAACCTGCTGTGCCACAGCACTTGCCCTATGTTACTCTTCCTTAAATCTTTCAGAAACTTGAATTGATTAATTAGATCACTTGTAATTGCTGCTTTTAATATTGGTTGCAGTCCTGCTAGGCATATGAAATTTTCACAAATAGTGTTATATTAAAATAATGTATTCTTGTTCTTTTCTTTATTTGTTAGAGGAATTTAATGATAGAATTTTGCGACCAGAGTTATCAAATGATGAAATGCTATCTCTTCATGAAGAGTTGCAGAAGATTTATAAAACATATTGTTTGGATGAAAGTATTGACAAAATTAGATTTGATCCCTTCATTGTAGAAGAGATTCAGAGAAGTAAGTCAAAGACTATGATGAGTGTGAATTCTATAACTGTTTTACAGTTTTTAGGGTTGTCCCACGTATCTTCTGTTTATTATTTTAATAGCTGTGTGAAGGACATAGGCAGTTATTACCCTATTTTGCTGTTAAGATGAAAGCTTTGAGGAAGGAACTTAGATTCACATAGCTAATATTTATGAGAACTGAAATATGACTCTAATTTCTCAACCTAGTGTAATTTCCTAAAGTGATATTTCTATAAAATAGTTTTAGGACTGTGCTCTTTCACTATAATGAATTTTAAACTAATGTATAATGTGTTTAAATTATTCATAAATAATTTCTGCAGTAGAATTCTTTTTTATTAGTTGCTGAAGGCCCCTACATAGATGTAGTGAAACTTCAAACTATGAGATGTCTTTTTGAAGCATATGAACACGTTCTTTCTCTCCTGGAGAATGTATTTACTCCTATGTTCTGCCACAGTGATGAGGTAAGTCAAAATATTAATCATCTGAGAAATTTTTTAGAAAATTTCATAGTAGCTGTGATCATTAGATGAATGATTCAGATAGAAAAATAGAATAAGATTAAGAAAGTTAATGGAGACTAGTTGTTAATTGTAAGAAGAATTCTCAGTAGTTCAGTACCAAAACCATTTTTATATATGTGACTAAGATAGATTGGAACTAAATTAGCCTACCTGGTTTTGCCATTTGACTGAGTGGCTATTTCGTGTCAGAGTGATACAGAAGCTTCTTTCTTCTATGCGTCTTATAGACCTGTGGAAATCAAATGGTGTGAATATTTCCATCTGTGATATTTTAGCCCTTGCCTTATTTAACTATGGTTGCAATTCATTGATTTAAATGTCTTTTTCTTTAAATTAGAAAGCAGTAAGGTAAAGAAAGCATCATTTTTCAGTATCTAATATTAGTTTAATAAATCAAAATTGTTTGTTATTTTGAAGTATTTCAGACAACTTTTAAGAGGTGCAGAATCACCAACACGCAATTCAAAATTCAACAGGTAGGTATATTTAACCATATTTATCTTTTATCTTTGAACTTGTTGGTACTAATAATTTTTATAGCATTGTTACCTTTATTAGCTGTTTTGCTAAATGAAAATGTGCTTCTGTTGCCAGATGAGTGGATGAAGTATTTCACTAATGGATTGTAGAACTGAACTACATATAGTAACCTGAAAATGCCTGAAATTCTTTAGAGAAATATGAGATATCTGTTGTTACTTTGTTAATCTCGTGCTTAATTCATATTAGTGCTTGATTCCTTTATTGGAAACTGGGGAATACCTGCTTAAGTGAAATCTGCAGATAACTCACAATGTTATTCAGTAGTTCTCCCCCTCCCCAAGAAAACTTACCAGAACACTTACTGAGTAGAAAAGTGTAGGGATTTTTCTCCCTTTCTTTTCCATCTCTCTAGAAATTATGTGCGCTTTTAATAATTTAAGAAAGATGACAGAAGAAACACTTTACCCACTTATTTTCTTATAAAGATTTATTTGTTTATTTAAAAGAGTTACAGAGAGAGAGAAGAGGCAGAGAGAGAGGTCTTCCGTCTGCTGGTTCCCTCTCCAACTGGCCGCAATGGCCGGAGCTACGCCAATCCGAAGCCAGGAGCCAGGAGCTTCCTCCGGGTCTTCCTATGTGAGTGCAGGGGCCCAAGGACTTGGGCTATCTTGTACTGCTTTCCCAGGCCATAGCAGAGAGCTGGATAGGAACTGGAGCAGCCGGGTCACAAACCGGCACCCATATGGGATGCTGGCACTGCAGGCGGTGGCTTTACCTGCTACGCCATGGCACCGGCCCCACATAATCCACTTATAAACTAGATATTTAATGTCCTAATTTGTCCTTACAATTTATATGTATAAAATGGACTCTGGGGCTGGCGCTGTGGCATAGCAGGTAAAGCCACTGCCTGCAGTGCCGGCATCCCATATGGGTGCTGGTTGGAGTCCCGGCTGCTCCACTTCTGATCCAGCTCTCTGCTACAGCCTGGGAAATCAGTACAAGATGGCCCAAGACCTTGGGTTCCTGCACCCACATGGGTGACCTGGAAGAAGCTCCTGGCTCCTGGCTCCTGGCTTTGGATCAGCGCAGCCCTGGTCATCACGGCCAACTGGGGAGTGAACCAGCAGATGGGAGAGTGCGCTCTCTCTCTCTGTCTCTCTCTCTCTCTCTCTCTCTCTGACTCTCCTCTCTCTCTGTAACTCTTTCAAATAACTAAATCTTTTAAAAAAAATGAACTCAGACATTACATCTGAACTCTACAAAACAAATACATTTGTTTTCAATGTTTTCCATTTTGAGAATGTATCTAATAAATATATTAATAAATTGGAGATGCATTACAAAAAGAAATGTCAGAAAGTAGAGCAGATTTTTAGATAAATAGTACAGGAAAAATGTGAAAACTGTACTGATGGGGAGATTAGATTGGGTTCTTTGACATAGAACTTTAAATCTATAGCAATAGATTTAAAGTTTTTGAGTTTGGATGTTAAATCTTACATAATGCCTCAGTAGAAATTGTACATATGTAATAGCTTTTCTGAGAAGCAGAAAATATCAGTATGATTCTTTGTAAAAATACCACTTTTCTACTTTTTTTAAGCGGTTATATGTTGTAGCCATGAAACAAAAGATTCATAGCACTGAATTCCTGCCCCATGGTGGAAGGAAGGAAATGTGGCGTTTGAAAGACCCAAACCTAGCACAGATCCTAAGTGACTTAAATTCTTCCATGGGTGGTCTAAGGCCAGGAGTTGCCACCATGGGCCTGGGGTCTTTCTGGAGTTGGGTTGCTTGGGAATGATTTAAAAAGAAAAAAAATTATATCCATGCTTTTTAAAATAGCATTCTTTGCCCATTCCACATACCTCTTTCATTCATATATTTTTTAAAGGACTTTTATCAAATTTCCCAGCATACTTGAAAATAGGTAGAATTTTTCCTTGTTTATAGAATTACATATTTGGAATCATACCAGGATATTGGGCTTAATGAATTGCCTATAGAGGACTGTGTAAGGAGAAGTGGTTCTGTGATCTGCTTAAGTGTTAAATTTAAGTCAGTGTCATAGCTGAAGAAATGGAAACTTTCTTTATCACTTGGAGAACATTTGATTGTTTTTAGCATGTTAAGGCATTAATTTTTCTGGCTTTTGAGTGTGAAAAGAGTTGAAAGAAATAGGGATTCTTTTCATTCTTGGTACTGATTATGGCTTTTTAAGGTATGTTTTTATTTTGATTGACCTGACTTTGATATTAACTATTAATCTTGTCAGGACCGTCTGCTATGATAATGATTCATTTATCTGTGAGAATAAGTAAAAGAGTTTGTTTCATTGGAAATTTAGAGTAACTCTGCTAGTTTGCTGTTCAGTGACTTAAGATATATAAAATATTTACTCATATTCTACTTAATTATATTCTAAAAGCAAAATTTTAGTGGATATTATTAATCTGATTCTGTTTTTGTACTCAAATAGAATTTTAGTATTTAAGGATGTTTTGCCAACTTCGCTTCTTTGGGTAGAGCTTACTTTTAAAATATTCAAATGAAAACATGTAAAGCGTGCATAGTTTATATATAATATGGACACAAATTCTGTATTGGAAATTCAGGTTTCTTTTTTGTAGCAAATTTTTGGTGGCTTATTTTCTGCATACTTTGCACTGTATTAAACAAATAATATGACTACAGGCAAAAATTAGAATTTTGCCTTAATATTAAATTTTTAAGATCTTTTTTTAATGTTTTAGACTTTAATACCTTCAAACCCCCAAAACAGCCATGCAGATTTGTTTATCTTACCTTCATCATGTTATTTAGAATGATTTCTTCCCTTTGCAAAGATGAATGGAATCCACTTGTGTAACTTTCAAAGCTTTTTAATTTTGTTTTATGTTCTAACGTGAAACTTGTTTAATATCTGGGCTTTCTCTCTTTCCTCTCTCTATATAATTTCACATATCTGTTATTGCAGAGGTAGCCTAAGTTTGGATGATTTTCGGTAAGTCTGGAGCATGTAATTCTTTTCAGTATAAATTGACTATTTAAGTGCAGAAAGTATATCCCATACAACTTAAGCACAACTAAAGCTATAATTGCCTTTATATGTTGTTTAGGATAAACTTTTAAAATGTGTCTCTACTTTGATTCCAGATATCTCCTTATGAGATAGCATAAGGTGTCATCATAAAATAAAAATATTCTTATGTTTCTAAGATATTTTTATTGTTTGTTTATTTTTTGAAAAAAGATTTGTTTATTTGAAAGAGTTACACAGAGAAGGAAGGAGAGGCACAGAGAGAGAGAGAGAGAGAGAGAGAGAGAGGTCTTCCATCTACTGGTTTACTCCCCAGCTGGCCGGAGCTGCGCCAATCTGAAGCCAGAAGCCAGGAGCTTCCTCTGGGTCTCCCACGCAGGTGCAGGGGCCCAAGGACTTCTACTGCTTTCCCAGGCCATAGCAGAGAGCTGGATGGGAAGTGGAGCAGCCAAGACTTGAACCGGCATCCATATTGGATGCTGGCAATGCAGGCAGCGGCTTTTACCTACTACTCCACAGCGCTGGCCCCATTAATTGTTTATTTTATTTTGCCAGTGTTTCACTTTTCAAAACTGTTGTCTTATTTTATTGTTGACTTTTTAAATTACCTTTAGAAAATATTTTAAGGGCTTTATTGTTTTAAGCAAGAAGAATAATAATGGTTCTCTACTTCTAGGCATCACAAGTGAGACATTTAAAAAGTATGTAGTTCAAAAACCTGAATTGTTTTAAAATCTCTAGTTTTTAGAGAGTAGACTATTCTATCTAGATTCTAGAGATCATAGCAGTATTTTGTCAAAATTTTCATATTTATCTTTGGAAATATTTCTTCTATCAGAACTGTGTCCACAATTCTGAAGTTAAAAATATTAAATGTATTCTTGTTCAGATAAATAACCCAGTTTATCCTATTTTTCCAGTTTTAATGTAAGTTTGATTTCTGTCCCAGTCACTTGTAAAATAAGGTTGTATTTGAAACGATCACTTTACTTTTATTCTTGTAATTGTTGCATTATTTTAGTAGGTAACTTAAATTTTGCTTGAAGGAATAATAACTGTCTGTTAAGTTAAACACCTGAAACAGATATTCTTAGATTTTAATAGTAGTTACTTTTATGTGGATTTTTGTTACAATAGCAGTATTATATTGCATGAAATTTAAAAAAGATAAACTTTTATTTGCTGAAACATGGGGTGGTAGATTCTACTGGTGGATTTTTTTTTTTTTTTTGGCAGCTGCTGCTTTTAGCTTTTTTATTGTTGCTTTCCAGGTTTTTTTCTGCTTTTAGAAGTTCAGTTTAAAAAAAAAACTGCAAAACCATGGCAGAACAGGCTACTGTTCTCAGCTATGTTTGCTTTATCCTTATTCTCATTGCTAACCCTTCTCTTTGACATTTTATCCTTTCTTTTTATTACTTTGAACTTAAATGCATTTTATACCTCATCTTTTGAGTACTTCTATGATTGTAAAACTGAACTTTTCTGGAACTTTTGTTAGAGAGGACGAAATATTTTTTTGCTAAGTTCCATCTTAAAGTGGAGTCCTAAGAAAGTAATGTTCCCCCCTTTATTGTTATTTTAGCATTACAGTTATTCTAAATGAATGTTCTGTTTTGTATACGCTGTTAACACAAATGTTTAAAAATATGTATAGCAATAAGAACTATATACCACTAGGGGGCTCTCAATCTGAAAGGATCTTAGTTCAGTTAATGTTTTGAAGTTAGATAAATTTCAAATGTTTATTAAAAATTTTATCTTGTTTACTCATGCCTCAGATTTTTTCTTTTATTTATCTATTTATTTATTTTGACAGGTAGAGTTATAGAGAGTGAGAGAGAGACAGAGAGAAAGGTCTTCCTTCCGTTGGTTCACTCCCCTAATGGCCACTAGGGCCGGGGCTGCACTGATCTGAAGCCAGGAGCTGGGTGCTTCCTCCCAGTCTCCCATGCTGGTGCAGGGCCAAAGCACTTGGGCCATCCTCCACTGCCTTCCCGGGCCACAGCAGAGAGCTGGACTGGAAGAGGACAGAATCCAGCGCCCATATGGGATGCCGGTGCCGCAGGCGGAGGATTAACCAAGTGAGCCACGGCACCGGCCTCAGATTTTTTTCTTTTAAAGAATCATTTATTTATTTGAAAGAGTTACAGAGGGAGAGAGCATGAGAGCTATCTAATATCTGCTGGTTCACTCCCCAAAGGGCTGCAATGGCCGGGGCTGGGTCAGACCAAAGGCAGGAGCCAGGAGCTTCGTCCCAGTCTCCCATGTGAGTGCAGGGGCCAAGCACTTGGGCCATCCTCCACTGCTTTCTGAGGCACATTAGCAAGGAACTGAATCGGAAATGGAGCAGCTAGGACTCAAACTGGTGTCCATATGAGATGCTGGTGTTAAGGCAGCAGCTTTACTCGCTAAGCCAAAATGTCTGCCCCTCATCCTTCAAACTTCAACTTTAAATGCCTTGTAATTTTTGGCTGCTGAGATATTAACTTAATCTATGACTGAAAACTCTAGAAGTTATATTTGTTTTACCTTCAGTTAATCACTTTCAAACTATTTTTCTTTATCATTGCTTATGGTAAACTAGGCTGCTGTGATAATTTGCTACCTACTGGTATATTTTTGTTCAATATTTAGGAGCACACAGAAAAGAGGAGAATCATTTGGAATCAGCAGAATAGGTAGCAAAATTAAAGGAGTATTCAAGAGTACCACAATGGAGGGAGCTATGTTGCCTAATTATGGTTTGGCTGAAGGTGAAGATGACTTCGTAAGTAGCAATTCTTCAGTTTGATGTATAATGAATTCATTATAGCATAAAAATTCGATATGTTTACTTAATTTTCTTGTCTTTTGTCTTTTGACTTAGACTTTATATTTCTTGTTTTTTCATTAGTTTTTGTAGTTTCATGATATGATCTGATTTTTAAACTTCCTAAGTTTTTGATTATTAAAGAGTTTGGTTTCTTTTAAGCTGAGCTACTTATAGTAGTGAAATAATTAATCAACTTTTGGTTTTGGCTTTCATTTCATATTTTGGTGTTACCTCTTTCTAGCCATATGCTCCAGGTATACAGAATTGATAATAAAAACCCTAATCCCTTGCTGCTCAAACTGTCATCTGTGGACAAGCAACGTCAGCATCACCACAAAGCTTGTTATAAGTACAGAATATTGGGACCAGAATTTTGGTATAGCGGGTAAAGCTGCTGCCTATGATATTGGCATCCCCTATGGGCACTAGTTTAACTCCTGGCTGCTATATTTCTTATCCAACACCCTGCTAATGCCCTAGGAAAAGCAGCTGAAGATGGTCCAAGGGTATGGGCCCCTGCCATCCACATGGGAGATCTGGAAGAAGCTCCTGGCTCCTGACATTAGCCTGGCCCAGCCCTGGCAGCCATGTGGGTAGTGAACCAGCAGATAGAAAATCTCTCTACCTCTGTAACTCGAGTTTCAAATAAATAAATAAATTTTTTTTTGACAGATAGAGTTAGACAGTGAGAGAAAGAGAGAGACAGAGAGAAAGGTCTTCCTTCCGTTGGTTCACCCCCCAAATGGCTGCGACGGCCTGAACTACGCTGATCCGAAGCCAGGAGCCAGGTGCTTCCTCCTGGTCTCCCATGCTGGTGCAGGGCCCAAGCACTTGAGCCATCCTCCACTGCCCTCCCGGGCCACAGCAGAGAGCTGGACTGGAAGAGGAGAATCCGGGACTAGAACCCGGCGCCCATATGGGATGCCAGCACCGTAGGCGGAGGATTAACCAAGTGAGCCACGGCGCCAGCCCCAAATAAATAAATCTTTAAAAATGAATAAGTAAATGCAGAATCTCAGGCAACATATTAGACCTCAGAATTTGTATTTTAACGAGATCTCCAGTAGACCTAGATGCGCATCTCACTCACCATGCTATTTTATGTCTTGATACCTTTGCATGCGCTGTCTTAACTTGAAATGCTCTTCCTTCCTTTATTTATCTAGAAAATTCTTATTTAGCTTTCAAAACTTAGCTGCTCCCAACAAACCTTTATCTGTGTTCCCAGGTGGAATTGAACATTCTCTCCTTTTGTGGCCTTATTATGTCATGTTAAATCATGTACTATATTATATGTGAAATTGCGTATTTATTCTGTGTTTACCTGATAGTGGATTCCTTAAAGGCAGATATTATCTCATAGTTACTTTTCATCTGTTTAACAATGTATATTGAACATAGATCTTATACGTACATTTTGCCTTTTAATGACCCTGGGTTCTGGGTATTAAAAAGATGGCTAAGACATTGCCTATGAGAAAATCACTAACCTAAGCATAAATGTGCTGAATAGTACCAATTGGATTAACAGTGACAAAGAAGAAGGAGTGGGGAGAGAAGGATAAACAAACCCCCTTCTTCCCTCTAGCCCTTCCTTTGGACCTCTGTCCTATGCATTGATGAATTTTTATGAAATTTTACCAATTCTTCATAATAATTGAAAGGGCAGAAAATCTTATTAAGGCCCCTTTTTCTTGTGAGATAATTTAAATATATTTCTTCTCTTTATGCTCTTGGTATAAATTATATAAGAGAGGGAAGTCTTTTTCAAAATAATACTTTTTAGCTTTAAGTATGTTATAGTCTTTGTTTTCTAATAATGTAGAAGTATGGAGGAAATTTAATTACTCATAGCCTACCACCTGATAAACCACTTCTATAAATAGTTTGGTGATTTTTTGTTTAGAAAAATAGCTTTCTCTTCCCTCCCCTCATAGATTCCACCATACACACACACACACACAAACACACACATTTTGCTGCCTTGCTTTCTCCTTGTTTAATATTATAGTGAAATATTTACCTATGATATTGCAAAGCTTCAAAACATAACATTTGTGGGGGAAGAGTTTATTCTTTGCCTTCTCAGTTGCTTGCTATTCAAACTGTTCTTTGCTTCAGTAATAGGAGGAGATCTTTTTTTTCCTTTTTTTTTTTTTATTTAGTAAATATAAATTTCCAAAGTACAGTTTATGGATTACATTGGCTTTCCCCCCCCATAATTTCCCTCCCACTCGCACCCCTCCCATCTCCCACTCCCTCTACCATTCCATTCACATCAAGATTCATTTTCAATTATCTTTATATACAGAAGATTGATTCAGTATATATTAAGTATAAGATTTCATCAGTTTGCACCCACACAGAAACACAAAGTGTAAAATGCTGTTTCAGTACTAGTTATGGCATTACTTCACATTGGACAACACATTAAGGACAGATCCCACATGAGAAGTAAGTACACAGTGACTCCTGTTGTTGACTTAACAATTTGACACTCTTGTTTATGGCGTCAGTAATCTCCTTAGGCTCTAGTCATGAGTTGCCAAGGCTATGGAAGCCTTTTGGGTTCGCCGACTTCGATCTTATTCCAACAGGGTCATAGTCAAGGTGGAAGTTCTCTCCTCCCTTCAGAGAAAGGTACCTCCTTGTTTGATGGCCCCGTTCTTTCCACTGGGATCTCACTTGCAGAGATCTTTCATTTAGGGTTTTTTTTTTTTTTTTTTTTTTCCTCCCACAGTGTCTTGGCTTTCTATGCCTAAAATACTCTCATGGGCTCTTCAGCCAGATCCAAATGCCTTAAGGGCTGATTCTGAGGCCAGAGTGCTGTTTAGGACATCTGCCATTCTATGGGTCTGCTGTGTATCCCACTTCCCATGTTGGATCGTTCTCTCCCTTTTTGATTCTGTCAGTTAGTATTAGCAGACACTAGTCTTGTTTGTGTGATCCCTTTGACTCTTAGACCTATCAGTCTGATCAATTGTGAACTGTAGTTGATCACTTGGACTAGTGAGATGGCAGTGGTACATGCCACCTTGATGGGATTGTATTGGAATCCCCTGGAACATTTGTAACTCCACCATTTGGGGCAAGTCCGATTGAGCATGTCCCAAATTGTACATCTCCTCCCTCTCTTATTCCCACTCTTATATTGAACAGGGATCATTTTTCAGTTAAAATTTAAACACCTAAGAATAATTGTGTGTTAATTACAGAGTTCAACCAATAGTACTAGAACAAAAAAATACTAAAAGGGATAAAGTATTACATTGTACATCAACAGTCAGGACAAGAGCTGATCAAGTCACTGTTTCTCATAGTGTCCATTTCACTTCAACAGGTTTCCATATTGATTGTTTGCCGAACATTGAACCATCCCTGCATACCAGGGATAAATCCCACTTGGTCTGGGTGGATGATCTTTCTGATGTGTTGTTGCATTCTATTGGCCAGAATGTTATTGAGGATTTTTGCATCTATGTTCATCAGGGATATTGGTCTGTCATTGTCTTTCAATGCTGCATCTTTTTCCAGCTTAGGAATTAAGGTGATGCTGGCTTCATAGAAAGAATTTGGGAGGATTCTCTCTTTTTTGATTGTTCTGAATAGTTTGAGAAGAATTGGAGTCAGTTCTTCTTTAAATGTCTGGTAGAATTCAGCAGTGAATCCATCTGGTCCTGGGCTTTTCTTTGTTGGGAGGGCCTTTATTACTCTTTCAATTTCTGTCTCAGTTATGGGTCTGTTTAGGTTTTCTATGTCTTCATGGTTCAATTTTGGTAGATTCATGTGTCCAGGAATCTATCCATTTCTGATAGGTTTCCCTGTTTGCTACCATACAAGTCCTTGTAGTAATTTCTGATGATTCTTTTTATTTCTGTGGTGTCTGTTGTTACGTTTCCTTTTTCATCTCTGATTTTATTGATTTGGGTCTTTTCTTTTTTTAGTTAGTTGGGCCAATGGGGTGTCAATTTTGTTTATTTTTTCAAAAAACCAGCTTCTCACTTGGCTGATTTTTTGTAGTGTGTTTTTGGATTCAATCCTGTTAATTTCTTCTCTGATTTTAATTATTTCTCTTCTCCTACTAGATTTGGGTTTGGTTTGCTGCAGTTTTTCTAGGTCCTTGAGATGCGCTGAAAGCTCATTTTTTTGGTACCTTTCCAATTTCTTGATGTAGGCACCTATTGCTATAGACTTGCCTCTCAGTATTGCTTTTGCTGTATCCCATAAGTTTTGATATGTTGTGTTGTTATCCTCATTTACTTCCAGAAAGTTTTTGATTTCTCTTTTGATTTCTTGAATGACCCAGTGTTCATTCAGGAGCATATGTTGTTCAGTCTCCATGTGTTTGCATACTTTCTGTGGTTTCCTGAGTTGCTAATTTCCAGCTTCATTCCACTGTGGTTTGAGAAGCTGCATGGTATGATTCTAATTCTTTTAAATTTGCTGAGACTTGCTTTATGGCCTAGTATGTGATCAATCCTAGAGAAGGTTCCATGCACTGCTGAGAAGAATGTGAAGTCTGTAGATGTAGGATTGAAAGTTCTGTAGAAATCTGTTAGATCCATTTGGGCAATAGTGTTGATTAAATCTGCCGTTTCCTTGTTGATCTTCTGTCCTGTTGATCTGTCTGTTTCTGAGAGTGGAGTATTAAAGTCCCCCAGTATTATTGTATTGGGGTCTAAGTCTCCCTTTAACTCCCTGGCGCTTCAGGCCAATATGTTAACCCACTGCGCCACAGCACTGGCCCCCGGTTTTGTTTTTTTTTAAGACCTTGAAGTTGTTTTCAACAGAGCTTTAAGAAGTCCTACTAAGATAGGTAGTAGTCTTATTAGGGACAATGCAAATCCAATTTAGGACAAATGCAGAAAAAAACAACATGGCTTTGTAGGGGAGGAAAAGAATTTTCTCAGAGGAGAGTTGTATACTAGCTGTGGGAAGAGAGAAGAATGGAGAATGACAGTAGGGTGCCAAAATTCTGGTAGTAGATTTTTTTTCTCAGTACTGGTTTGCTCTGACTAGACTTTCCAAATTCTCTTAATTAAATGTTTCTACCTTTAACTTACTGCTTTAAAAAAAAGCTGTTCAAGATTATGGTGTATGCTTTTTTTTTTTTAAAGATTTATTTATTATTTGAGAGACAGAGTTACAGAGAGAGGGAGGGAGGGAGAGAGAAATCTTCCATCCACTGGTTCACTCCCCAAATGGCTGCAGTGGCTGGACTGGGCCGATCCGAAGCCACAAATCTGGAGCTTCTTCCGAGTCTCCCACATGTGTGCAGGGGCCCAAGCACTTGGGCTATATTCAGATGCTTTTCCAGGCCATTAGCAAGGCGCTGTATTGGAAGTGGAGTAGCGGGAACTAGAACTGACACCCATATTGGATGTTGGCGACATAGGCAGAGACTTAACCTACTACACCACAGCACTGGCCCCGACGATTGTGTTTTATTCAAAATATCTTGCCCCCTTTAATTTAAAGTGATTGTGAGATACCTATGTGACCAGGGTTTTATATGCCTGATTCAAAGGGTCTCTTTCAAAAGTTTTTTGTGCTGAAATGCAGTTCTATTTTAATTTCATTTTCCATAAACTTTTTGAAGTTCTCAGGGATATTGCCAAAACACTTTCAGAAGGGATCAAAGTCATGCACATTTTGAGAATGATGCTAGCTCACCTTGCAAATAGCATTATATCACAAATACAGCTTATCTGTGCAGTCTCCATCAGTGACTGTTATCATTTGTAAAATTTTACATTCCTAAATTTAAAATATTAGTACATTAATTTTATTTCTTATCAAGTTGATATTTTTCTATATTTGTGAAATTTTAATTTTTTTCATCATCTCTGCAGAGTCTGTTCTGTATTTTCTATTATATTTTCATATATGGATGATGTAACAGATCCTGGAAGTTAATAATCCTAGTAACTTATTAGATTTAACTCTTTGTCTTTACCTTTTCAGTAGTAAATTCAATATCACGTAATTTACAGTCTTAAAGATTATCATTTTTATGTGGGTATACCATTTTATAGTTGTATTTCATATGCTGTAGTTCTAATGGTACTGGAAATACTAAGTTCATCCTGTTTTTTTCTAGATTGAAGAAGGCATTGTTGTAATGGAAGATGATTCGCCAGTGGAGGCTGTGAGCACACCTAATACTCCGCGAAATCTTGCTGCATGGAAAATTAGCATTCCATATGTAGACTTCTTTGAGGACCCTTCTTCTGAAAGGAAGGAGAAAAAGGAGAGAATTCCTGTGTTTTGTATTGATGTTGAAAGAAATGATAGAAGAGCAGGTAGGAAGTTTTATAAGTACCTTTCTTAGAAGATGCCTCTCGGCCAACGCCATGGCTCAATAGGCTAATCCTCTGCCTTGCGGCGCCGGCACACCAAGTTCTAGTCCTGGTCGGGGCGCCAGATTCTGTCCCGGTTGCCCCTCTTCCAGGCCAGCTCTCTGTTATGGCCGGGGAGTGCAGTGGAGGATGGCCCAAGTGCTTGGGACCTGCACCCGCATGGGAGACCAGGAGAAACACCTGGCTCCTGGCTTCGGATCAGCGCGATGCGCCGGCCGCAGCGCACCGGCAATAGCGGCCATTGGAGGGTGAACCAACAGCAAAGGAAGACCTTTCTCTCTGTCTCTCTCTCTCACTGTCCACGCTGCCTGTTAAAAAAAAAAAAAAAAGAAGAAGATGCCTCTGAGTCTGTTTTTATCATTTTACTTAGCCCATTCTAGTTATTGAATATGACTACATATCTAAAAGGTAAGTGTCCAGAACAGCAAAGTAAATGAAGGCCTAGGATTTTTTGGGTTTTCTTCTTTATTAGGTAACTGTTAGTTCATTCACCTAGCACTTATTGAATAGATGCCTGGGACACACCTGATACTTCAGTAAGGTATTTCATATAATATTCTTTTAATAGTTTTCTTGCCGTCACCATCATTAGCTATTATACTTCAGTGACTACCATTAATTCATAATAGCCCTATATCAGGTATTACCAATTTAATTGAAATAGCATTTCCACTTTTCATTGTTGTGAACTAAATGATGAAGATATGATTGAACACAACTTAGCAAATTGTCTTCATTTTCTGCTATTTTTTTATTTTTATAGTTTCTTGGACAGACTGTAATAGAGACAGGGATTAAACAGTCTATAGTGTCATAAACAGTCTCCACTTTGGGCTTTGTCTAAGAAGTGGGGCAGTCTATATAAGAAAATGCACAATCCAAGTCATTTACACTTAGGGATGCTGTATGCAGAAAAAGAAAATTGCGGCCGGCGCCGCGGCTCACTAGGCTAATCCTCCGCTTTGCGGCGCCGGCACACTGGGTTCGAGTCCTGGTCGGGGCACCGGATTCTGTCCTGGTTGCCCCTCTTCCAGGCCAGCTCTCTGCTGTGGCCAGGGAGTGCAATGGAGGATGGCCCAAGTCCTTGGGCCCTGCACCCCATGGGAGACCAGGAGAAGTACCTGGCTCCTGCCATCGGACCAGCGCGGTGCGCCGGCCACGGCGGCCATTGGAGGGTGAACCAACGCAAAAAGGAAGACCTTTCCCCTCTGGTCTCTTCTCACTGTCCACTCTGCCTGTCAAAAAAAAAAAAAAAAAAAAAAAGAAAAGAAAATTGCATTCAGGAAGAGGGAACTATTTGTGAGGAAAGAAGGAAAAAAAGTGACAATGTTAGCAAATAGTTTTTTTTTTTTTTAATAAGATTTATTAATTTTTTCAAAAGTCAGAGTTACAGCAAGAGAGGGAGAGCCAAAGATCTTCCATCTGCTGGCTCACTCCCCAAATGGCTGCAACAACCAGAGCTGGACCAGGCCAAAGCCAGGAGCCAGGAACTTCATCTGGATCTCCCATGTGGGTGCAGGGGCCCAAGCATTTGGGCCATATTCTACTGCTTTCCCAGGCACATTAGCAGGGAGCTGGATCAGAAGTAGAGCAGCCAGGACTCAACTTAGTGCCCATATGGGATGCCAGTGCTGTAGACGGCAGTCTAACTGTTGCACCACAGCACTGGCCCCACAAATAGTTTCCAGAGAAGTAACTAAGTTGTAGTGTGAAGGTCAGTACTAATCATTGTCCTTCCCTCCCTCCTTCCCTCCCTCCTTCCTTCCTTCCTTCCTTCCTTCCTTCCTTCCTTCCTTCCTTCCTTCCTTCCTTCCTTCCTTCCTTCCTTCCTTCCTTTTTAAGATTTGTTTATTTGAAAGTCAAAGTTACACAGAGAGAGCAGAGACAGAGAGAGAGAGAGAGAGAGAGAGAGACAGAGAGAGAGAGAGAGAGGGAAAGAGAGGTCTTCCATCCATTGGTTCCCCAGATGGCCGCAATGGCCGGAGCTGAGCCAAAGACAGGAGCCAGGACTTCTTCCGGGTCTTCCATATGGTTATAGGGTTCCAGGGACTTGGGCCATCCTCTACTGCTTTCCTAGGCCATAGCAGAGAGCTGTACTGGAAGAGGAGCAGCTGGGACTAAAACCGGCACCCATATGAGATGCTGGCGCCACAGGCGGAGGATTAACCTACTGCGCCACGGTGCCGGCCCAAAATTTGTATTCTAAATATAATTTTTGGCAATAATGTTGCAGGCTTCTACTGTTAAGGTAATATACTCCTATAGAATTACTGCTTGAGAGAGAGGATAAATTGTATCATTTATTACACTGAATTTTATATGCATAGCAAAATAGTAATTTCAGGATTTTCAAAACCAAAACTAAATGTAATGTTAATTTATAAAAAGAAATCTTTCATTTATTTATTTTAAACTTTTATTTTATTTAGTTAAGAAAGAGAGAGAGAGAGTGCTTCTTTCCACTGATTCACACCTCAAATGACTACAAGAGCTAGGACTGGGCCTGGCTGAAGTAAGCAGCCAGGAACTTAATCCAGGTCTCCCATATGAGTGGTGGCACCTAGTCTCTTAAGGCAATACCTACTGCCTGCCAGGGTGTGTATTAGTAGAAAGCTGGAGTTAAGAGTGGAGTCAGTATTCCCAAATGTCATCCTAACCACTAGGCCAAATGCTTACCCCTAATTTAGATCTTTTATGAACAGTATTGAAGAAGAAACCTAGAATTTGCTTTATAGGTTGTAACTATATCAGGTTATATTTTTTTTGACAAGAAACAACATTTAAGGTTGTGTTTTGATTGACTTCATCCATTGTATTCTAAAATCTTAGCTAGAAAAAAAAAGAATAAAAAGATCTTAGCTAGAAAAAAAGAATAAAAAGATCTTAGCTAGAATGACATTGGATGCTAACAATAATAGTTAATATTTTTTGAGGGCTTGCCCTTGTGCACCAAACAATAATGTTTTATGTGGGGTGGGTGTTGTGACACAGTAGGTTAAGTTGCTGCTTGAATTACAAATGCATAATGCTGGTTCAAGTCCTGGCTAATCTGCATTTTTGATCTAGCTTCCTACCAATGCAGGGAAGCATTGTATGGTGGCTGAAGTATTTGGGTTCCTGCCACCCATGTGGGAAACCTACATGTAGTTAATGGCTCCTGGCTTTGGCCTGGTCCAGCCCTGTCCATTGCAGGCATTTGCAGAGTGAACCAGCAGATGGAAAATCTCTCTCTTTTCTCTCTGCCTCCCCTCTCTATTTCTGTGTGTGTCACTCTGCATTTCAGATAAAATAAATCTTTTAAAATGAAGTTTTATGTGGATTATTTTATGTGATAAACAGTTATTCTCCATCTAAGCAAACTAAGATTCAGTGAAGTTATTTAAGGCCGAATAGTAAGTGAGGGACTGGGATTACAATAGGCAATTTGACCACAGACTGATTGTTTAAACCCTTAATTTTTGCTATACAATCTGGTACCCCCTAGCCATATGAGGCAATTTAATTCAGTTGTAGTAAGATTTTGATTCCTTCTTTGCACTAGCCACATTTTCCTCCCTCCCTCCCTCCCTCCCTCCCTTCCTTCCTTCCTATTTGACAGGTAGAGTTATAGACAGTGAGAAAGAGAGACAGAGAGAAAGGTCTTCCTTCCGTTGGTTCACTCCTCAAATGGCTGCCATGGCCAGCACTGTGCCGATCCGAAGCCAGGAGCCAGGCACTTCCTCCTGGTCTCCCATGTGGGTGCAGGGGCCCAAGCACCTGGGCCATCCTCCACTGCCTTCCTGGGCCACAGCAGAGAGCTGGACTGGAAGAGGAGCAACCAGGACTAGAACCCGGCGCCCATATGGGATGCAGGCACTGCAGGCGGAGGATTAGCCAAGTGAGCCACGGTGCCGGCCCCTACTAGCCACATTTCAACTGCTTAGTGGCAACATGTAGCTAGTAGCTACTAAATTTTTGCATTTTGATAATCACAGCTCTGTTGAATAGTACTACTGTACTGTATTAGATCAGGGCAGTTTGGTCAATATTTGAGAGACCCCCAAAATAGATCACAAATTTTTATGAAATACATCATTTTGGTGATGTTTTAAGTTTCTGCCTTTTCTGTTCTGTTGTAGAAAAACTGTATTGTCTTGATATAACTTCATAAATAGATGAAATATATCAATATCTTATACATAATTTTAAAATTAAAATGTGAAATAAAGTATATTAATAATGTGATGTTGAGAGTCATAAGCTATTAGTACTGTGGAATAATTTCTGTGTTTTTTTTTGTTTATTTTATTTGTATTCTTTGTTCAATTTTTATTTATCTGAAAGGCAAAGCTTGAGACAGAGAGACAAACATCTTCCATTTGCTGATTCACTCCCCAGATACCTGTAATAGCCAGGGCTGGGCCAGGCTGAAGCCAGGAGTCAGGACCTCAATCCAGGTCTCACAGTGGGTTGCAGCAGGGATCCCTCCCCTTCCCCCCACCATCTTTTGCCTTCCCAGGTTGCATATTAGTAGGAAGCTAGATCAGAAGTGGAGCCAGAGCTTGAGCCTGGCAGTCCAGTGTGGGGTGTAGGCATCCCAAGCAGTGTCTTAACCACCACACTAAATACTCAGCCCAGATTTGTGTTCTGTTTTTTAAAAGACTGATTTTTTAAAAGGCAGAATGACAGAGATAAAGAAATAGAGACTGAGACTGAGACCAAAAAAGAGATCTTTCATCCACTGATTCACTCCCCAAATGGCTGCAATGGCCAGGGTTATGCCGGCATGAAACCAGGAACCATCTATCTGGTCTCCCATGTTGATGGCAGGGACTCAAGTACTTGAACCGTAACCCCACATGTTAGGAAGGAGCGGGTTCAGAAGCTGAGGAACTGGGGCTTGAACTGGCACTCCAGTGTTAGATGCAGATGTTCAGGTGGCTGGCTTAACCTGCTGTGCTACACCACCTGCCCAGCTTTGTATTTTAATCTGTTAAATATTGCATCCTTTTAATAGTTGGTTGTAAAATTGTTTGTTACTCTGTATGTTTTCCTTTAATTTATAGTTGGACATGAGCCTGAACATTGGTCTGTCTACAGAAGATACCTTGAATTCTATGTACTTGAATCAAAACTAACAGAATTTCATGGTATGTTGTTCTTTTTGTTCAAAATTCTGTTTCAGCATAAGCATTCTTGAAAGCAGCTGTATCAAGTTACTATTTAAATTTTAAGTAATTGTATCAAAGAAGTGTAGCAGTTGTCTGTACTTTTATTGGTAATAGGAATATATTTTTTCTTTATATTTTTAAGTCCTTATGCAACAGCTGTTTTGATAAGAAAATTTATTCTTAAAACTGTGTGTATGAAATACATGAAATTTGTCCACTTTATATAAATTTAAAAAAGAAAACAAATTTAAAAGCTGACATTTAAGTATATTTCAGAAAAGGTTCTCTATCCCATTTACTTTTTGTTTAAACTGATATGATGGTGCTTTGTACATTAATCATCATCTTCCTTAGTAAACAAATATGTTTAGTATGTATCATGGCAAAGTTCTGTTTTAGCTATCAGGTTTATGTGTGGAAACAAAACTAGAAGTTGAATGTTTCCTTTGAGGGCAGATCAGTTGGAAAAAGAGAGCATTTTTCATTATTAGTTCTTTTTCTAAATCTTTTTAGTACATTATTTTAGTAAACATTGAGAGATACAGGTATTAAATATTTCTAACCATTTTGTACATGAGTTGATAAGTTTTATTTGTGTGTTCTGAGTTTTTATTTTGGAAGAGCTCTGTGGATTGTTTCCTGATCTAGATTCAGGTTGGTTTTGAATTAAAAAGGACAGCAAATCTTGTTTATCTTGCTTTAATAGGAATGCCTGTAATAAGATGATTCTTTTAGGAAAATAAAGAATACAAAGTCACACTCCATAGTTGCCTAGATTTTGAATTTGTACTTATCTTCAAATGGTTGTCACTTCCTCCAGGCCAGTCTGAAATATTGCCATCCCTATCTTATTTCTCTAAGAACTATGCTTTTTTTATGTGTAAGGCTGAGATAACATAATTTAGCCTCATACTCAAAAACCCTGGACTAACCAAAGTTGGTTGGATTCCCAACATTGTCATATTGAATATCATGTTTATACAGTAACTATAGATTTTATTTTTTAAATTTATTTATTTATTTGAAAGAGTTAGAGAGAGAAAGGTCTTTCATCCACTGGTTTACTCCCTAATTTGCTGCAACAGCCAGATCAGTTCCAGTCCGAAGCCATGTGGATACAGGGGCCTAAGGACTTGGACCACATTATACTGCTTTCCCAGGCTATAGCAGAGAGATGGATTGGAAATGGAGCAGCTGGGATTTGAACTGGCACCCTTATGGGCTGCCGGCACTGCAGGCGCAGCAGCTTTACCCACTACACACACCACAGCGCTGGCCCCTGGCGTAAAAATTTTTGGTCAGCCCTATCTTAGAAAACTTGTCTTTTTTTTTTTTCTAAAACATATATGAATGGTCTTCTAAAAATTCATGGCAAATACATATTATGAAAAAGCTACATATGGATTTAAAAATATTTTTGCACCAAAATAAATTATTTTTTAATTCCATTTTGGATAAACTTTTTGAAAATTCCCCCAAGTAATCCCCATGTAATATTAACAATACGCCACCATTTTTCTCATGAGTACTTTTTTTTTTTTTTTTAATAAATTTACTTGAGAGACAGACAAAAAGTTCCCATCTACTGGTTATCAAATACCCACCCACAACTTCTGAGACTGGGCCAGGCAGAAGCCAGGAGCCAGAAACAAAATCTGGGTCTTGCCGGCGCCGCGGCAAGACCACTAGGCTAATCCTGCGCCTGCGGCGCAGGCACACTGGGTTCTAGTCCTGTTCGGAGTGCCAGATTCTGTCCTGGTTGCTTCTCTTCCTGTCCAGCTCTCTGTTGTGGTCCAGGAGTGCAGTGGAGGATGGCCCAAGTCCTTGGGCCCTGCACCCACATAGGAGACTAGGAGAAGCACCTGGCTCCTGCTTCAGATCAGCACGGTGCGCCGGCTGCAGTGTGCTGGCCAGAGCGGCCATTGGAGGGTGAACCAACGGAAGGAAGACCTTTCTGTCTGTCTCTTTCTCTCACTGTCACTCTGCCTGTAAAGAAAAAAAAAAAAGATAAAAAAAAAAAATCTGGGTCTTCCATATGGGTGGCAGGAACTCCATTTCTTGAGCAATCATTGCTGCTTCCAGGGTCTGTTAGTAGGAAGATAAAGCCAGGAGCGAACCTAGGCACTCAGATGTGGGGTGTACAGCTCTCTGCTGTGGCCTGGGAAAGCAGTGGAAGACGGCCCAATTCCTTGGGCCCCTGCATCCATGTGGGAGACATGGAAGAAGCTCCTGGCTCCTGGCTTCAGATTGGCGCAGCTCCAGCCTTTGCGGCCAATTGACGAATGGAATTCGGATGGAAGACCTCTCTCTCTCTCTCCTTCTCTTTCTGTGTAACTGACTTTGAAGTAAAAAAAAAAAAAAAAAATCTTAAAAAAAAAAAAAACCCTCTGTGTTACAAAAAAAAAAATATGTGGGATGTAAATTTTTTTAAAGATTTATTTATTGGAAAGAATTATACAGAGAGAAGAATACACACAGAGAGAAAAAGAGAGAGAGAGAGAAAGAAGCAAAGAGACAGAGAGACAGAAAGGGATCTTCCATCCACTGGTTCACCCCCAAAATGGCTTCAGTGGCTGGGGCTGAGCCAGACTGGAGCCAGGAATCAGGAGCTGCTTCTCCCACGTGGGTGCAGAGGCCTAAGCACTTGGTCCATCTTCTACTGATTTCCCAGGCACATTAGCAGGGAGTTGGATCAGAAGTGGAGCAGCTGGGTCTCAAACCAGCGCCCATATGGGATGCCAGTGTTGCAGGCAGTGACTGTACCCCATGCCGTGATGCCAGCCCAACGTGCAAGCAGTCCTAACTACTAGGCTAAATGCCTGCCCCAGCCTCAGTAATTTCTTTAGTAAGATTTTAGTTAGCAGAACCCAACCAGTTTCAAGATAATCTCGTAATAATTTTTTGAAGTTCTTTTACTAGGATAGAAAGCTAAAAAAAAAAATGTGTTATTGAAGAGTGGTTGTTGAGAGAAGATGGTCAGTAGACTCAAGATTTTGTGAAGATTATTTCAAGGGTAATGTCTGATCTCTACAAACAAGTGTTGTGAATCTGATTTGCCAGTGTAAATTTTAAATTAGATTTTTAACATAGCAGTACATAGTAATAACTTTAGTATATCATAATTTCAGGCACATTTCCTGATGCCCAGCTTCCTTCCAAGAGGATCATTGGCCCCAAAAATTATGAATTCTTAAAATCAAAGAGAGAAGAGTTTCAAGAATATCTGCAGGTATAGAACTGTTGTATAACTTGATTTAAAACTAATAATCATACCATTTTCTGATTTGTCTTTTTCTCTTGTACATATATTCTTTGCTTTCTAAATACTGTTCCATATGAATTTCAAAAGTTCTTTTATTTTTTTTTTTAATTTTTATTTTTAAAATTTATTTCCATTTGGATTTTAAGATGAATTTTTATCAAAATGTGGTCTTTTAAAATTGATAATCAAAGAAATACCAGATATCTTGTTGAGGGAGAGGGATGCCTTTAATTTGTTTAAAACTAATTAAAACTTGGTATAGGAAAGTTAAAAAGAAAGGTGAGAAACTTTTGGAGTAAAAGATTAAAATTGTGTTCTAAGAATACAAGTTATTGTTTTGGCTACTGTTTGTTTTGTTTTCTGTTAGATTCTGTGTTTGGTACTTTCTGAATGGGTTTGTTTAGCTTTTCTATATCTTCTTTTATATATATATACATATATATGTATGTGTATATATATATACACATATATTCATTTATTTATTTGAAAGGCAGAGTTACCGTGAAAGAGAGGGAGATCCTCCATCCGCGAGTTCACTCCCCAAATGGCCACAGCTGCCATGGCTGAGCTAGGTTGATTCTTTCTTCTGGGTCTGTCTCAGGATGGCAGGGGCCCAAGCACTTAGGTTATCTTCTGCTGCTTTTCCAAGGCCATTAGCAGGGAGCTGCTTCAGAAGTGGTACAGCCAGGACATGAACTGGCACCCATATGAGATCTGGTGTTGTAGGCAAGTGGCTTTACCTGCTGTGTCACTGTGCCGGCCCCTGAATATCTTCTTGATTTAATCTTGGTAGGTTATAAGTCTCCAGGAGTGTATTCATTTTGTTAGCATATACAATTCATATTACTTTTCTTTGATCTTTTGTATTTCCATGGTATTGGTTGTATTGTCTTCTATTTCATCTATAATTTTATTTATTTGAATTTTTTCTCTTCTGTTAGCTTGGATAAAGGTTTACTTATTTTGTTTTTCTCAAAAAACCAGTTTTTATTTTGTTGATCTTTTGTATTATATTTTCTTTTTAGTTCCATTTTCACTTATTTTGGTTCTGATTCTTAATATTCCTTACCTCTTGCTAATTTTGGGCTTGTTTTATTTTTGTTTTTGTGAGTTCTTGAGATGCATCATTAGAGTATTTGAGATCTTTTTTTTTAAATGTAAGCAGTTATTGTGATACATTTCACTCTTAATACTGCATTTGCTGTATTCCACAGGTTTTGATATGTTGTGCTTTCATTTTCATTTGTTTCAAGAAAGCTTTTTGGCTTTATTTCCTCAGTGATCCATTTTTATTCAGTAGCATATTTAATTTCCATGTAGTCTGAGAAGAATACAAAGTATGATTTCAATCTTTTTAAATTTACTGAGACTTCATTTGTGGCCTGATATATGGTCTGTCTTATGAAATGTTCCATATGCTAATGAGAATATATATGTATGTTCTGTAGCCGTTGTATAAAATGTTCTGTAAATGTCTTATTAGATCCATTTGCTCAATAATAGTGGTCAGCTCTGATGTTTCTTTGTTGATTTTCTTTCTGGGTGATCTGTGCATTAACATTCCCCACTATTATTATATTGGAGTCTATTTCTCCCTTTAGGTCTAATATTTGTTTTTTGTGTCTGGGTGGTCTTGTGTTGGATGCATATATATTTATGACTGTTATATCTTCTTGCTGAATTGTTTCTTTTATCAATGCAGAATGTTTTTGTCTCTTTTTATAGTTTTTGATTTAAAATATTTTATTTGCTATAAATATAGCTATATGAATATAGCTATTCCTGTTGATTTTTGGTCTCTATTCACATGATATGTCTTTTTCGAGCCTTTCACTTTCAGTCTATATGTATCTTTCTTTACCTGTGAAGTGAGTTTCTGGAAGGCATCTTATAGTTGGGTCTTGTGTTTTGTTGTTGTTGTTGTTGTTATCCATTCAGCCTACTTGTATTTTTTGACTGGGCCTTTTACTCCCAAATCTTGAAATATGGACACCTCAAAGAACCTTAACCAGACTCAACCAAAAAAGATCTTCTCCAAGGCAAATTATAGTGAAATTGTAAAAGTTGAGGAAAAGGAGAGAATCTTAAAGACAATAAATGAAAAACATGCAATTACTTACATGTAAAGGAATAGAAAAAATTAGTTCTTATCTATCAGTAGTAACCTTGAATGTAAGTGGTCAATGTTGATAGATAAAAACTAACTCCTGTCATTTTGTTGATTAGTTACTGATTGTATCTGCTGGTAGTGAATTTTATACTTTCATATGTTTTCATTATGTTTACTTTTTAAAAAAAAGATTTATTTTATTTATTGAAAGAGTTAGAGAGAGAGGTAGAGACAGAGAGAGAGGTCTTCCATCTGCTGGTTCATTCCCCATGTGGCCACAATGGCCGGAGCTGCGCTGATCTGAAGGCAGGAGCCAGGAGCTTCTTCCAGGTCTCCCATGTGGGTGTTCAGGGGCCCAAGGGCTTGGGCCGTAGCAGAGGGCTGGATTGGAAGAGGAGCACCTGGGACTAGAACTGACACCCATATGGGATGCCCGTGCTTCAGGCCAGAGCTTTTACCCATTGCACGACAGTGCTGGCTCTCATTATATTTACTTTTAATCTGGGACACTTGTCAGGATTTCTTATAAGGCTGATCTTGTGATAAATTCTCTCAGTTTTTGCTTATTTGGGAAATACTCTATTAATCCTTTACTTTTAAAGGCTAGCTTGGTGGATATAATATTCTTGGTTTGAAGTGGTTTTTTTTGTTGTTGTTTGGAAATATTTATATCAGAACGATGAAACTAAAGGTTAGAGACAATGGATGTCATTAGTTTAGACAGCAAAACAGCATTAGTTTATTATAAATGAGACATGGAAACTATTTGTGTGATGCCATTTCTATAGAAATTTCAGTCTACATATTTTTCAAGAATGCTACAGTCTTTAAATAAAAATCTTTGTGCTGTAGAACTACTTTGGTGCCTCTGTATTCTGGAAGAAGAACTTTATCTCCAATTTTCACATTATCTGGTTAAATCTCTCTACCTGCTTTCCTTTAAAGTCTGATCCAACAGTTGTAACTGTTGCTGCAGTACTTTTCCTTGATATTTTTCTGGAAGCAGAGTACATTCTTTGGTTACAGTTTCCATGGCACTTCTTTTAACCAATACTCTATCAAAGAGTGAAAGAAGCTTCCTAAATCCTTGTCCTGCCGTGGTCCTCGCATTGCAACTCCTACTCTGCTCTTGCACCACTGGAAGGAGAGACTCTACCGCCTCTTTTTTTTTTAATATTACAATTTTTTACAAAGACTTATTCATGTATTTTGAAAGCGTTACAGAGAGAGAGAGAGCAAGAAACAGATCTTCCATCTGCTGATTCACTCCCTAGATAGTCATGGTGTGCAGCGTTGGTCCAGGTTGAAGCCAGGATCCAGGATCCAGGATCCAGGATCTTCATCTAGGTCTCCCAAGTGGGTGCAGGGATTCAAGCACTTGGGCCATCTGCCACTGTTTTCCCAGGCCATTAAGCAGGGAGCTAGATTGGAAGTGGAACAGTGGAACATGAACTAGCACCAGTAAGGGATTCTGGCATCGCAGGTGGTGGCTTTACCTGCTATGCCATCGTGCAGGCATTCCTTCCTCTATCCTCTTTACTGAAGCTTTCCCTCAGACAGTCTTGTAGAAATACAGTTCTTCCCTGATTGTTCTATTGTTCTGATTTTTTTCCTGCCTGTGGTGGATGCAGATCCTCTCTATTCAGCTATCTTAATCCCTCTCTGTAACTGTTATTATTTCAGTAGATGATACATCAGCTTTAGTTATTTATTTGAGACATGACTCTCTAAGATTAATGATTATTTTTCTTCATTAAGAAAAGAACACTAGAGAGAAGATACTTTTTTTTTTTTTAAGGTTTATATTATTGGGGCCTGGAATTTATTGTTTTTATTAATTGTTAATTTAGGTAAATTTAGATTTCTCCTAACCAAAAATCAGTGCTTTTTAAAATAGTCAACATTTAATTTTCTGTGTCTGAACTGATGAATGCCTTCAACCCAAAAATATTTTCTATGCAATATTTTGGTGATCTGAAATTTGAAAAATAATGATTACTGTAAGATTTGGAAATATAACAGAGCTATGCTTTTGTTGATAAGCAATAACACATTTTTTTTTAAATTAATTATTTGAAAGGTAAGATGACAGAGAGGGAGAAACAAAGAGTAAAAGGGGGTGGGGAGAGAGAGAGATATCTTCCATCTGCTGGTTCACTCCCCAAATGGAAGCAACAATGAGGGCTGGGCTAGGCCAATGCCAGGAACCAGAAACTCCACTGGTAGGGGCCCAAATTCTTGGGCCATAATATGCCTTTTCCAGGCATATTAGCAGGAAGCTGGATCAGAAGTGGAGTAGCTGGGACTCACACAGCATCACAGTTGGTGGCTTAACCTGCTGTGCCATAATGCCAACCCCAAGCTATTGCTTGAACCAACTTATTCTTTCTGAGAACTAGAGCATTTCATTCTAGAATAAATATTTTCTGGTAATGTATATTTAAACTAGAGGTAGTTGATCTGGTATTTTGTTTATGTAGCTTTTTTGTCTGAAAGAGTTTTATGGGTCTGGCGTTGGCAGTACAGTGGGTTAAGCCAACACCTGCAACTCAGGCATTCCATATTAGCAATTGTTTAAGTCCCAGCTGTTCCACTTCTGCTCCAGCTCCCTGCTAATGTGCCTAGGAAAGCAGTAGAAGACAGCCCAAGTGCTTGGGGCCCTGCATCCACGTGAGAGACCTAGATGAAACTCCTGGCTGCCGACTTTAGCTTGGCCCACTTCTAGCTGTTTGTGGCCATTTGGGGAGTGTAGCAGATGGAAAAATCTGTCTTTCTCTCCCCTTCTCTCTAACTCTACCTTTCAAATAAGTAAAATAAATCTTAAAAAAATTTTATAACTTTTATGGTTATAGAACTGAGTATTACAGAAGACTGATTAATTTTGATGTATGAAAGTCAGCTTATCTTGATAGAAAATAGTGTTTTAAGAACAGACAACAGAATTTCCAAGTTATTTCACATTTCTACATTCAGTTTTCTGCAAAATCATTTCTGTTGACTTAATTATCAAGGAAGTTTTAGGATATTAGAATAGTCATTTTGTAGTTAAGAAACCAAGAGGTAAGATTAGCTAATGTTTAGTCTTCCTGTTTATCAGATGCTCTATGAAATGCTTCATATAATAACAATATAAAATAGATAATTTTTAAAAATTTATTTATTTTTATTTGAAAGAGAGAGAGAGAGAGACAAACAGGGAGGAAACTCCCATCCACTAGTTCACTCCACAGATGACCACAATAGCCAGGGCTGGGCTAGGCCAAAGCCAGGAGACAGGAGCTTCTTTTTTCTTTTTTTAAAAAAAATGTTATTTAAATTATACAGGTTTCATGTATTTCATATATACAGATTTGGGAACATAGTGATACTTCCCACCATAAACTCCCTCCCACCCATACTCCAACCCTTCTTCTTCCTTCCTCTCCTGTTTTCATTCTTAATTTTTATAAAGATCTATTCTCAATTTACTTAATGATTTTAAAGTTAACTCTACACTAAGTAAAAGAGTTTAATAAATAGTATGAAGAAAACAACAGTGTTCTTCAGCAGAAAAGACATGGGCTGTAAACAATCATTGAATTTCAAAATGTCCATTTCATTCCTCTTTGGAGTCTCCCACATGAGCTGCAGGGGCCCACCCACTTGAGCCATCTTCCACTGCTTTTCCCAGGCCATTAGCAGGGAGCTGGGTCAGAAGTGGAGCAGCTGGGTTTTGAGCTGGCACCCATATGGGATGCTGGCACTGCAGGCAGCGGCTTAACCTGCTACTCCACAGTCTATCCCTGTAGGTACTGTTGTTATCCCCATTTTAAAGACAAGAAAGCTGACTTTTGGGCAATTTAGGGAGTTTTCTGAGGTTACCTATCTAGCAAATGGAAGGGCCAAATTTTAAATCCTATACATGTCTGATTGTAGAGGCCAAGATTTTACCTGCTGTGCTTTGCTGTTCTCTTTATAATTGTGGTTGTTTGTTCTAAGTATAAAAAAGCTTTTGGGAATTTGAAATTGTTTTTTAAAATCACTTTAGTATAGTTTTGATTATCCTTTTAGATTTTTAAGCTGTGCTTTTCCCTTTTTCCATTTAAGAAACTTCTGCAGCATCCAGAACTGAGTAATAGTCAACTTCTAGCAGACTTTCTGTCCCCTAATGGTGGGGAAACACAGTTTCTTGATAAGATACTACCAGATGTAAATCTTGGTAAGTCAATTTAGAGAATTTTACATGAGTATAAGAAAATAAATTGAAAAGTATTAGGGTTTTCAGATTAACTTAGAAAAATAGTTTATATAGTAGAGCCATGTGGTAGACTCCAAAGGCCTTATTTCTGCATTTTGATCATGAAATAATGATGTTACTCTGCCTATTTTATGAGTTTAATTATTTAAAAAGTCACTTTTAGCCATATATCCTATCACATAAAATTATGTTGGCCAATGTGGTTTTGCCTTTGCTTTCTAAATGTAAAATGAGATAATACTTCTGCATATATACATGCTTGCAGAATATATTGAGCTATTTCTCAATAGAAATCTCCAAAAAGGTCAGATATATTAACATTTGACTTAGTTTAAGACTCAGGTGCTTTTTACTACATCGTTAAGTTATGTCATATCCTTTTATTTTGTATTCTAAAGCATTGTAAATATGCCATTTTAAAGCTTACTTTTAATGGGGGTACAACTTACAGTAATAATTCCAATAAGTATATAAACTTAATTTAATTCCCTTGAGTTAATTTTAATGGCATTATGAGCAAATTTCACTCTGTGGTACTTCTTTCTGTGCATGACTTTTATTTACAGTTTAATTATTGACTATATAACTTAGACATGAAAAGTACACATGAGATATACGGAAACATTTCGGGTTTGAATCTCAGTGCTTTAATTTGTTTTGATTTTTTTAATAACAATTTAGAAAAATTTGTAAATAAAGTCTTCATTCTCAGTTTCAGTGAGAAAAATGAGTAAAATCATTTTGCAGTCTGTAGCTTGTCTTAGAGCAGTACGATTTTATCTTTAAAAATTTTATTTACTTTAATTTTATCTGGAATGTATGGAGACACAGAGAGAAACAGAGAAAGAAAGAGATCTTCATTTGCTAGTTCACTCCTTGAATGTTCTTAGGAGCCAGAAGACCCCAAGTTTTAGGCAATCACTGTTGCCTCCTAGAGTGTGCATTAGCAGGAAACTGGAATGGAAAAAAAAGCCGAAACTTAAGTCTAGGCATTCTGATAAAAACAATATGGGGTGCCCCAAATGGTATGTTAACCATTATGTCAAATGCCTAATCCCACTAGTACTATTTTAAAGGAAATTGAGGATGTGTCAGAGCTTACATTTGATCTATTTTTAAAATGTTAATTAAAATTTATTATGGTAGATATAAAATTCCTCCTCAGATTATACTTTGCTGGAAAATGAAGACATTTATTATACTTCTTTTCAGAAAATATTTTTTTGTGTTATAATATTTGAACATTTAATTCTACCTGTCACTTTTGTATGAATTATTATTATAGTTTTCTTAAATAGCCACAGGGTCAACAGAAATCAGATATTTGTTTTCTCTTTACCATTAATATATTACATACATAAATATAAACAGACATTGTGGTGCAGTGGGTTTGGCTGCCACTTGTGACACTGGCATCCCATATTGGAGCATGATTTGAGTCCCAGCTGCTCCATTTCTGATAGAATTCCCTGCTAATGTGCCTGGGAAATCAGTGAAAGATGGCCCAAGTGCCTGGACCCTGGCCACCTATGTGGAAGACCCAGATGAAGTTCTGGGCTTCCGCCTGGAGCAGCTCCAGCTGTTGTAGCCATCTGGGAAGTGAACCATTGGATGGAAGATCTCTCTGTCACTCTACCTGTCATACATATATTCAAATAAATAGTAATTTTGACATTTTTAGTGAATTATCTAACAAACCCTTTGGATTGCACATATTCTGCTTTGGAAACTCTTGGTTTACAAATCTGCTCCATGGGTGGCCACATTGTGTACCACATTGTGCTTGTGTACCACATTGGAGTACCTAGGTTTTTTTCCCAGCTCCAGTTCTAGCTCCTGAATCCAGCTTCTGTTAATGCACACCTAGCTCAAATAATTGGATTTTGCCTCCCAAGTGGGAGACTTGCTTTGCTTTCCTGGCTCCTAGATACAGCCCCTTATATAGTTATCTAGTCCCTAATAATGCAAGCATTTGGAGAATGAACCAGCGGATGGAAGCTCATTTTATACGTCTCTGTTTTTCTCTGCCTCTCTTAGATGAATTAAAAAAAAAAAAAAACAACCTGCTCCATAATCCCTATCCCACCTGCTAATCATCAGTGACCTCATTTTCTCACTCTTCATCTTCTTGACCTCCCCATACCCTTCTACCCTTTAGAAATTCTCTAGCATTCATTGATGCATTCTGCTATGTTAACTGTTCATGCCTCTTTCTGTTCCTCCATTTTTATTCCATACAGTCTTCCCTTCTCTTGTGTGCCTAAGTAATGGTGTTTCCCAAGACAGTCCTCAGTTTTCTTCTGGCCAGTCTCAGAAAAACTTATTTTAGTTCTTTCCTGTAAATACATGTTTACAAATACAGTTTGACCTTTAGTTAGGCTTTTCGAATAACCAATTGAACATTACCATCTGATCTCCTTTTTTCTTTTCAGAACCAACATTTACTTCTTTAATTGGTACTACAGTTATCTCAGTCACTCTTGTAACTTTTAGTATTACCTTGGATTCTTTTAGTGCTTTCACTAAACATCTGTTTTGTTTTCCTGGATTGTGTCAGTATTATCTTTATGATATCTGAGTCATACCTTATTATTCCTTCTTTATTTAAAAAATTTTAAAAGACATACAAAAATTATATGTATTTACAGGATACTATATGATGATGTTTTGTTACATGTATTCATCATGTAGTGTCCAATCAAGGTAAATATGTTTATCCTGTCAAGCATTTAACATTTCCTTATAAAGAAGGAATTCAAAAATCATGTTTTCTAGTTTTTCCAAGATATACATATGTGTGTGTGTGTGTGTGTGTGTGTGGTAAACTCACATTATCTCTGCCTTTATTGTCACTAGAACCCAAAAACTTCTTACTCCTATCTAGCTATAACCTAGCACCCATCAATCAACCTTTCCCAGTTCCTTTCTCCACACTATCCTTCCTTAACTTATCATTACCTTAACTCAGACAAGAGTCTGGACCTGTATTTAGTTTCCTGAATTCCCATCCTTCTCCTACCCTCAACCAGTTTTCTTACGTATCACGACCAGATTAGTCTCCCAAAAATACAGCTTTGATCATACCTGAAAACCTATGTATAAAGACATACATTTTTACTGAGAGTAGGAAAAATGAAATTTAAAGATCTACTGTTTGTTAATTAGTTGTGCAAAGAGCAGAGTTTGCTAACACATTGTACTGGCAAGTTTATGGAATGGTATAGCAGTTCTTGAAAACTTTCTTCTAGCTTTTGCATATCTTGAAATATATATTCATCATTGTTTAAAATCTTTTGAAAACATTTCTCATGGAAACTTTTGAAATGTATACAAAGTAGAAAAAGTATTATAATGAACTTCTCACTATTTCTTTTTTTTTTTATAAAGATTTATTTATTTGAAAGTTACACAGAGAGAGGAGAGGCAGAGAGAGAGAGAGAGAGAGAGGTCTTCCATCCAATGATTTACTCCCCGATTGGCTGCAATAGCCGGAGCTACGCCGATCTGAAGCCAAGAGCCAGGAGCTTCTTCTGGGTCTCCCATGCAGGTGCAGGGGCCCAAGGACTTGGGCCATCTTCTGCTGCTTTCTCAGGCCACAGCAGAGAGCTGGATCAGAAGTGGTCCAGGTCTCTAACTGGCGCCCAAATGGGATACAGGCACTTCAGGCCAGGGTGTTAACCCACTACACCACAGCACCAGCCTCTTCTCACTCTATTTCAACAGCTCTCAACATTTGCTTTGTTTTCATTCATTACCCCACCTCTCACCTCACTGAATTAGTTTGAAAACATAAATCCCCAGTTTCATTGTTATAAATAGTTTAGAATACCATATTATTGTAAATTTCTGTTGAAATGGTCAGTTATAAATACTTTTTACAGTTTTATTTTTTGCCTTTCTATTGAGTATTTATAATTACTTAATGAAGTATTCATATAAGCAATTATGAAGTGTATTGTGCCTTTATAAAGTTAACCTTTTATTTCCAATTACAGGGAAAATTATAAAGTCAGTTCCTGGAAAACTAATGAAAGAGGTAACTGATTTATTTTGATTCTATAGCATTATAGTCATAAACTTTTTAAAAATTGATGAATTTTAATGGCTTATATGATACTAAAAATCATAATTTTGATTTTTGATTTTTCTGCCATGACCTCTGTACCGCGACAGAAAGGTCAGCATTTAGAACCTTTCATCATGAATTTCATTAATTCCTGTGAATCTCCAAAGCCTAAACCAAGCAGACCAGAACTGACCATTCTCAGCCCTACTTCAGAAAACAACAAGAAGGTACTGCTCATTACTTTAAAGAGTCATTAAGTTTCAAGTTCTCCTACTTGAGATTATTTTTCTACCATAGGGGAAATGAATGCTTTGTTAATGAAAAACCTTATAATTTACACCACCTTTATATGGAAATCACTTGCACAGTGTAAAGAGGGTATTATGTGTAGCTTCTTGGTTCTTTGCTTTAATATGGTAAATGTGGTTTTTTAAAGATACTGTGTTTACAGACTTCTGTCATTTCTATATTTAGGGATTCCTTTTTTAAAGATTTATTTGTTTGTTTGAAATACAGAATGAGAGAGGGGAAGAGAGAGAAAGAGAAGAGAGAAATGTCCTATCTGTTGGTTCACTTCCCAAAGGCTTCAATAGTCAGGGATGGGCCAGACCAAAGCCCAGAGCCTGGAGCCCAAAAATCCATTTGGATCTCCCATGTGAGTGGCAGTGGTATAAGTGCTTGGGCCATCCTCTGCAGTCTTCCCAGGCACATTACTGGGGAGCTGGATCAACAGTGAGCAGCTGGAACTCAAACTAGGCATTCTGATATGGGATGTGGTCGTTCCAAGTGGCAATTTAACTGCTGGCCAAACACCTACCTTTGTATCACCCTACTTTGTATCTGTTGCTGTGTTACAAACCACCCGAAAATTACCGGCTTAAAACAACAACTGTTGATTTTATTTGTTTATGATTCTGTGGGTCAACATTTTGGACTGGACTTAGCTGATTATACTGCAACTGGTCTGTAATCTTGGCTTTTCTTGGTCTGGATGACCAAAGATGACTTTGTTTCCATGTCTGGTGAAAGTTGGTTCTGCCTGTTGGCTGGACCTTGTGTCTTCAACAAACAGTACTCAAGTCACATAGTAGCAGCATTCTAAGATAGGTAGATACATAAATTGGTTTATGTGTGTATGTATGTGAAAGGCAGAGTTACAGAAAGATCTTTTCTATCCACTTGAGCATTCATTAGATAGCCACAATGGCCAGGGCTGGCACAGGCTGAAGCCAGGATCCCAGAACTCCATCCTGGTCTCTCAGGTGGGTGCAGGGGCCCAAGTACTTGGGTCATTTTCTGCTGCTTTCCCAGGCACAGTAGCAAGAAGCTGGATTGGGAGTGGAACAGACAGGACTCCAACTGGTACCCAAATGAGATGTCCCCATGAGATGGCAGCTTACCTGCTGTACTACAATAGCAGTCCCAATAACAGTAGTATTCTAAGAGGGGAAGCCTCAAGACACAACTTTCCAGGCTTACGTTTGCTCAACGATTTACTCAACATCTGTCTCATTAGCTAATGTAAGTCATGTAGTCAAGTCTAGTTGGTGTGAGACGGAACACACAAAAGAGATTGGCTACAGAAAGGCATGATCCTTGGGGCTGTTACTTTTATTCTCCTATCAGTTTTGTAAAATTCTCAGTTATATACTTTTTAGATATTACCTTATCCTATCCCCCCCCTTTTTTTCCTTTGACAGGCAGAGTTAGACAGAGAGAGACAGAGAGAAAGGTCTTCCTTCCGTTGGTTCACCCCCAAAATGGCCGCTACAGCTGGCACGCTGTGCCGATCCGAAGCCAGGAGCCAGGTGCTTCCTCCTGGTCTCCCATGCGGGTGCAGGGCCCAAGCACTTGGGCCATCCTCCACTGCCTTCCCAGGCCACAGAAGAGAGCTGCACTGGAAGAGGAGCAACGGGGACAGAATCGGGTGCCCCCACTGGGACTAGAACCCGGGGTGCCAGCGCCACAGGCAGAGGACTAGCCTAGTGAGCCGCGGTGCTGGCCTATCCTATTCTCTTTCAAAAATATTTTTTCATCTTGCTATTTAAAATTTTAAATTAACATGTAATACTTATACATTTTTATGGGGTACAGTACAGTATTTCAACACTATACACAACATAAGCTGATTGAGTTTGGCAACAAAAATTTCATTTCTTTTGTGTTTTGAGACTACCAGCTCTTTTCTAGTTCTTTATATAGTATGTTCTATATTATTATAAACTATAGTCACCTCACTCTACTGTGAAACACTAGAAGTCATTATTTCTATATGACTATTTTGATAGCTGTTATCTTTGTCTCCTGGAAGACTGATTTAATTCTCATTCTGTTTTCCATTTATTAACAAAATATATCATATCTTAACTCAAATATCATCTTAAACGGCTTTCTGAGTAAATCTTAGCCCTCCTCAGTTAATGAATGTTTCCCAAAACAGTTTATTGCACTTAGTAGTATTTGTATTTTCTTTTGGGATTGTTGTAAATAAATCTTGTGATTAAATCTCAAAACTGCTTGAAATGATTTAAGAGATTCTTAAGAAATAGCTTTTTTTTTTAGGTTGCCTACTATATGTGCATACTTTTATAAGTGATGAAATGTTAAAATTAGTCTAATGAGTAGGATTATGGAGAATTTTCCAGAGAAGACCTTTAAAGATTGAGAAATTGTGTAAATTTTTGTACTGAAAGGATATGTCTTCAAAAACTTTATGAAAGTTTGGTCAAACTGGAAATTAACTTTGCTGATGGCTTGTTAATTGGTCCAACTTTATAGGAAAGGAATTTGTTATTACACAACAAAATCCGTCAATTGTTTACATTCTTTGACCTTGTGACCCAAATGCTAGGAATTTTTTGGAAGAAAATCTAATAGAAGAGCTTGTAATGCATGATGATGTTTATTAAAGTATTATTTACAAAAATTAAAAGTTGGAAACCATATGAAACTCAACATTATAGGAAGGATTAGTCATGTTAAAGAATATCTACTCCAGGATTTGTACCAGGTAAAATTATAGTTACAGAAACTATAAGACAACATAAAGATATTTGATGTGGTACTAAGTGAAAAAAAAAAGCAGGATGTAATATTTTTTGTACCCCATTGTGCATGACTATACATGGTGATTAGATTAGTTGCAGTATATGGCGATTGGGTTGTTTTTCTCCCAGTCTTTTTCAGATTTACTATATCATTACTGTTTCCTAATGAAAAATTAAATTAAAAACATGTGGCAGTAGGGGAATTGTTCCAGAAGATGGAATACTTTTCATATTTCTTAGTTTGGGGAAGATGTTTTAATCTTATATCTCTGAGTTAAGAATATCTGACAAAAGAACCAATAGAATGTAGGGTATTGGTTCTTGGGACACTTTTTTAAGAAAGCCTTTAAATAATTCATCTTCAAGCAGCCAGTGTTGTAGTACAGTGGATTAAATGCCCGTATCTGTGACATTGGCATCCCACATTACCCAGTATAAGTTGCAGCTATTTCACTTCCTATCCAGCTTCCTCCTGCTAATGTGCCTGGGAACACCACTGATGATGGCTAAAGAGCTTGAGCCACTGCCACCCATATGGGAGACTCAGGTGCAGTTCCTACTCCTGGCTTTAGTGTGGACTAGTCTTAGCTATTGTGGCCATTTGGGGAATGAACCAGTGAATGAAAGATTTTTTTATCTCTGTCCCTTTTCTCTAACGTTCTACCTTTCAAATAAATGAGCAAACAAATAAATAAATCTTTTTAAATTCATCTTTAAATAAGATTCAGTATACTTTCCTTCATAGTTTTCTGAACTTCTTCTCTCGCAGTACTTATGTTACATCATTTCATTAATTTCTTGACCTATTTCTATTGGATGTTAAAGTTGTTGGGGAATAGTGAGCTGTCTTCCTATTCCCTGTCCTTGGTGTGCTATCTGGCACATGGAAAATACTTAATGTTTATTGAATGGATGTATAAAAGGAGTAAAATAATTCTTTTGTTAAAATTCATTAAGATGTATTGTTACTTATAATAGATTTTGTTTGCGATTTAGTTGCATGTATTGTTTTACCCATGAGTGGTTCTTCATGTCATATCATGTTTGTTTTTTTCCCCTCCACATTGATTAGGCCTTTTCTGGACTTTGAATATTATTGTCTAAATAATCTGTTCTTAAAGCTGAATTTTCACCTCAACTTATTGATTAAATAAGATTTATAATATTTAAATCATGTTTTAAAATTAGCTCTCAATAATCTTTATATTTTACTTTGTTCCTTTTAATGTATGAAAACAAAGAAGGGGTTCTTTATAGATAATAAGCTTTTTTTGCAGTGGGTTTGCTGTCAGAACACAGGTGTTGTGAAAATCACCACTAAATCAAAGCCAGAATGGGACAGGAAAAGACTCACATCAACATCGTTGTCATTGGTGTAGATTCAGGCAAATCCACCACCACTGGCCATCTGAGCTACAAAAGAAACCATTGAAAAATTTGTGAAGGAGGCTGCTGAGGTGGGAAGGGGCTCCTTCAAGTGTGGCTGGGTCTTAGATAAACCGAACATCGAGCGTGAGCGTGGTATCACCATTGACATCTCCCTGTGGAAATTTGAGACCAGCAAGTATTATGTGACTGTCGTTGATGTCCCAGGACACAGAGACTTCATCAAAAACATGATTACAGGCACATCTCAGTCTGACTGTGCCATCAGATTGTTGCTGCTGGTGTCAGGGAATTTGAAGGTGTTATTTCCAAGAATGGGCAGACCTGTGAGCATACCCTTCTGGTTTACACACTGGATGTGAAACAACTAATTGTTGGTGTTAACAAGACGGATTCCACTGAGCTACCCTACATCCAGAAGAGATACAAGGACATTGTTAAAGAAGTCAGCACCTATGTTAAGAAAATTGGCTACAACCCTGATGTAGTAGCATTTATGCCAATTTCTGGTTGGAATGGTGATAACGTGCTGGTGCCAAGTGCTAATATGTTACAGTTTAGGGATGGAAAGTCACCCGCAAAGATGGCAATGCCAGTGGAACCATACTGCCTGAAGCCCTGGATTGCATCTTTCCACCAGCTAGACCAACTGACAAGCCTTGTAGACAAGGATATCTACAAAATTGGTGGTATTGGTTCTGTTTGCGTGGGCTGAGTGGAGACTGGTGTTCTCAAACCTGGCATGGTGGTAACTTTTTGTTCCAGTCAACATCACAGTTGAGGTCAAGTGCATTGAAATGGACTGTGAAGCTTTGAGTGAAGCTTTCCCTGGGGACATTGTGGGCTTCAGTGTCAAGAACGTGTCTGTCAAATATGTTTGTCGTGGCAACATTGCTGGTGACAGCAAAAATGAACCACCAATGGAAGCAGCTGGCTTCACTGCTCAGGTATCATCCTGAACTATCCAGATCAAATCAGTGCTGGCTACGCCCCTGTCCTGGTTTGTCACACAGCTCACATTGCTTGCAAGTTTGCTAAGCTGAAGGAAAAGATTGATTGTCATTCTGAAAAGAAACTGGAAGATGCCCATAAATTCTTAAAATCTGGTGATGCTGCCATTGTTGATATGGTTTCTGGCAAGCCCATGTGTGTTGAGAGCTTCTCTGACTATCCTCCTCTGGATTGTTTCGCTGTCTGTGATATGAGACAGATGGTTGTTGTGGGTGTGATCAAAGCAGTGGACAAGAAGGCTGCTGGAGCTGGCAAGGTCACCAGGTGTGCCCTGAAAGCTCAGAAGGCTAAATGAATATTATCCCTAATACCTGCCAACACAGTCTTAATCAGTGGTAGAACAGTCTCAAAACTGTTTGTCTCAACTGGCCATTTAACTTTAATAGTAAAAGACTGGTTAATAATAACAATGCATCGTAAAACCTTCAGAAGGAAAGAAGAATGTTTTGCAGATCATTTGTGTGTGTGTGTGTGTGTGTGTGTGGCAGTTTTAAGTTATTAGTTTTTAAAATCAGTACTTTTTAATGGAAAAAATTTGACCAAAAGTCTGTCACAGAATTTTGAGATCCATTAAAACAAAATTTAACGAGAAATAAAAATACAAATGATGAGTTTGTCTGTTGTGTCTAAAGTGATCATAGGCTTTACTGTGATATTTTGGGGAGAACCATTTTTAATGCCATTTTGGGCATAATCATGGATTTTTAGAAACATTTTAACCTGTTATTCTGTTTTGATCAGAAAAGGTCTAAATGTCTGCTCTGTGTCACTTTAGTTATGACTATCATCAGAAAGTACAATAAATTATTTCAACTTTTATTTTAGCTTTTCAATGATCTGTTTAAGAATAATGCAAACCGTGCTGAGAATACAGAGAGAAAGCAAAATCAGAATTATTTTATGGAGGTGATGACTGTAGAAGGAGTGTATGATTACCTGATGTATGTAGGTAAGATATAAGTGGTTTATATTAAAAGCTGTTTTTATTCATTTTATTTCTTCTGTGATGCAAATTAATGCTCTTGAGTACAGTCACAGTTAACTGTTTTTAAATTTTAATATCCTTTCATAAGAATCCAATGTAGTCAGTCTTGAATATATAAAATACTAATGTTTACGCACTAAATATTGACCATTGCCATTTGGGTTGTCTATATTGGAAAATGTTCAAAGTATCTATTTATTATGAACAAAACGGGATTTTATTTGATTGTTCTCAGGACGAGTAGTTTTCCAAGTTCCTGACTGGCTTCATCATCTGTTAATGGGAGCTCGAATCCTCTTTAAAAACACCCTGGAAATGTATACTGACTACTATCTTCAGTGTAAACTGGAGCAGCTATTTCAGGAGCACCGTTTGGTCTCACTTATAACACTTCTCAGAGGTTTGTGTTTTCTCAGTTGTTTGTTTCATGTTGTGTGTACCCAGTGATTTTTAAGTAGATCTAGAAGATTGAGAAATCTTAATTTTTCTTTGATTTGTTAGTAGAGGAAATACCTTGTGTTTGAACAGGTGAGAATTCCAGGTGTTTGAACAGATGAGAATTCCAGAAAAGTACTTTTTTTTAATTCTTTTTCAGATGCTATATTTTGTGAAAACACTGAACCCCGTTCTCTCCAAGATAAACAGAAAGGAGCAAAGAAAACTTTTGAAGAAATGATGAATTACATTCCAGGTATAATATTTGATAAGTAATTCAATTTTGTATAGATTAGCACTTCCTTGATGTTACAGTGTATAGTAATTATTGAAGCTAATTTTTACTGTGAATTTTAATTTTAGAAATAGTTATAAGGACCAATTAAAATGAACTCAGTTGTTAAAGAAAAATTTTATTTTTATTTGAGAGGCTCAGAAAGAAGAGAAAGGGGTAGAAGAGGGCAGAGAGAGCACTCCTGTCTGCTGTTTCACTGCAATGGCTGGGGGTCAGCCAAAGCCGGTGGCAGGAGTTCAGATCAGTCTGGTCTCCCAGATGGGTGGCAGGAGTCCAATTACTTAAGCTATTATTGCTATTTCTTAGGGTCTGTATTGGCAGGAGCTGTAGCTATGAATCAAACTCAGGCATTAAGTGTCTTAACTAGTAGACTGAAATGCCTGCTCCCATTTAAAAAAAAAATTTTTTATGTTAGCACTAAGAACTTTAAGACAAGGCTTTTTCTGCTTACATAATAGTCCATAACTTAAAATCAGACATCAAAGTGACAAGTGGTGGCACAGTTGGAGTCCTGCTGCCCACTGTAGATGACAGTAGCTGTTGTAGTGTGTATGATTAAAAGATTAGAATTTGTTCATTCATTCCAAATTTATTGAGTATTGTCTATGTTCTAGGCGCTGTGCAGAGTGCAAGTGATGTAAAAACTACTTGATTACCTCAGTCTCACAGGAACATAGACATTGAGAAAGCATACATGTGATAATAGTATATTCAAGTTATAGAGGTATTATAAGGGGGAGTGAATGGCCACCTTTCCTGTAAAGCTCTTTGGGTCACTTAGTAAATAAATGGTAGTAACTTCCTCTTGTGATGGGAAATAACAAAGGAAAAATGTCAAGGAATCAAAGTGGAGGGTACTTAGTTTAGAAGAGTTTGAATGTGAAGTACTATAAATTGGGAGGAAATGTCTCATAGTAATTGGATATCTAGATTTGGAAGTTGGAGCAAGAGTGATTTAAGGTAGATTGGTAGAGTTATGGGAGCCATGTGTGGATGGATACCAATGTGCAGGGAGAAGATACAGAGTAAGAAGAAAAGAATGTGACTTCTGGCTTCCTCTTCAGGATGTGAGCAGCTAGAAGCCTCTATGTTGATGTAGTAATGAGTGAAAAAACTAAATATACTGAAAAATTGACACCTGCTAGACCCATTAGAGTGGTGAGGTTAGGGCAAACCACTGTGTCCCAAATTGGAGAGACCAGGAAGCTAAAACAGCATCCTAGCTATTCAGCAAAAACTCATGAATACAGACCTCTTAGAGTATCATTGTAGAGGTAGGTAAACCTGAACCATAATCAGTAAATTGCTGGGAGTTCAATATGAACAAATATGAAAGATTAAAAACTCCAGGGGGAATAAGTTGTGGATACTTCCCACACTTTTTAACTTTTACTGCCACATACTGGACCAAGTTCCAACAGTGAATACCAGAAAAAAAATCTTATGATTCTGGCAGGGGGAGAAGGGGGAATTATATTAGAACATTTTATTCTTGAGAAGGCCCTACCCTCAAGAGAAACTATTTAACCAGAGCCTAATTGCCCTGGGGAGAAGGGAAAATTGCAGCCTGCTCTGGCTTTCTATGTGGAGAAAGGGAAATGCCCCATTTCCACCCACTATAGCCATTCTGTCCTACCTAGAGGAGGAGAAAATCCCAAGAAACACTCATGAAGTTCATGGTTATATGGTTCGGGCTCACTAAGAGATTGAGAGCTACCTTACCATCACAGTACTAAAGGCCTATTTATAGCAGTTCTGTTTGCCCAGTGTGTCATGTCCAGCTATTTAAAAAAATTGCAAAATTTCTAAAAAGAAAAGTTTGAAGAGACAGTCAAGGATCAGAACCAGATTCAGATATGGCAGGGATGTTAGAATTATCAAACTGTGAATTTGAAGCAGCTATGAATATGATCATGAGGGCCTTGATGGATAGATAGCATGTGAAAATATACAAATAATGTAAGCAGAGATTTGGAAATTCTAAAAAAGAAGTTAAAAGAAATGCTGATAGGGTGGGTGTTTGGCCTAGTGGTGAAGATACTAATATCCTATATCAGAGTGCTCGAGTTTGAATCCTGCCTCCATTCCCAATTCCAGCTTCCTTCCAGCACAAACCCTGGGAGGCACGAGAAGATGATTCAAATAACTGGCATCCTGCCCTTCACATGGAAGCCCTGGATTAAGTTCCTGGCTCCCAGTTTTGATCTGGCTCAGACCCAGATGTTGTAGACGTTTGAGCAATGAATCAGCAAATGGAGCTGTCTGTGTCTGTCTCCATAAAAATTTAGGGAAAAAAAGAAATATGGTAGAGATAAAAAATACTGAAGTATAGATGAAGAATGCTTTTGATGAGCCTTATTAGTAGACAGAATGTAGCTAAGTAAAGACTCCCTGAGCTTGAAGATACCTTAGCACAGGGACAGTTTTTGTTTCTTTCTTTTTGTTTTTGTTTTTGTTTTTTTTTTTTATTTTTTTTAAAGATTTATTTGAAAGAGTTAAAGAGAGGGAGAGACAGATCTTCCATCCACTGGTTCATTCCCCAAATGGCTGCAACAACCAGGGCTAAGCCAGGCTGAGGCCAGGAGCCAGGAGCTTCATCTAGTCTCCCATGCGGGTGCAGGGGTCCAAGCACTTGGGCCATCCTCTGCTGCTTTCCCAGGCAGACACAGGGAGCTGAATCAGAAGAAGAGTAGCTGGGACTTGAACTGGTACCCATATGGGATGCCGATACTGCAGACAAGTGGCTTAATGTCCTGCACCACAGTGCTAGCCCCCAGGGGCAGGGTTTGACGTAACCATTGAAGTGTTGATTAAGATGACAGCACCTCACATAAGAATACCCGAGTTTGATTACCTGTCTGGCAGACCCTGGCAGGCAACAGTGCTGGCTCAAGAAATTGAGTTCCTCCTACCACGTGGAAGACCTGAATTAAATTTTTTTATTATTATTATAAAAATTTATTTCTTACATAGCTGTGGCATTGCAGGTAAAGCCACCGCCTGCAGTGCTGGCATTCCATATGGGTGCTAATTTGAGTCCTGGCCAACTCTCTGCTATGGCCTGAGAAAGCGATAGAAGATGGCCCAAGTCTTTGGGCCACTGCACCCACTTGGGAGACCTAGAGGAAGCTCCTGACTCCTTGCTTTGGATCGGCCCAGCTCTGGCCATTGCAGTCATTTGGGGAATGTACCTGGGGATGGAAAACCTCTCTCTCTCTCTCTCTCTCTCTCTCTTCCTCCCTGTAACTTTGCTTTTCAAATAATAAAAATAAATCTTTACAAAAATTATTTCTTTGAAAATCAGAGAGAGAGAGAGACCTTCCATCTGCCATTAGCAGGGAGTTGGATGGGGATTGGAGCAGCTGGGACCTGAACCAGGGGCCATATAGGATACCAGTGTTATAGGAGGTAGCTTTAGCTACTATGTTACAATGCCAGCCCCTGAATTGAATTCTTAGTTTTCTGCTTTGTCCCTACCCCCTCCATTGTTGGCATTTGGGGAGTGAACCAAGTGGATGAGTGCTCACTGTCTCTAGAATAAGTAAAAGAAAAAGTAGAAAAAAGATATCATAGCACAAACCATCCTAACTACAAAGTAAAGAGAAAAAAAGAAAAAAAAAAGCCAGAATATCCAGGAACTATGGGAAAACTACAAAACGTGACAATTCTAAACGGAGAAGAAAGGAGAAGAAAGAAACACTATGGGGATGTGTAAAGCCACCGTCTGTGGTACTGGCATCTCATATGGGCACCCGTTGAGTCCCAGCTGCTCCACTTCCAATCCAGCTTTCTGGTACGGCCTGGGAAAGCCGTAGAGGGTGGCCCAAGTCCTTGGTCTCTGGCACCCGTGTGGGAGACCTGGAAGAAGCTCCTGGCTCCTGGCTTTGGATAGGTGCAGCTCTGGCCATTGGCACCATCTGGGTAGTGAACCAGTGGATAGAAGAGTTCTCTCTCTCTGCCTCTGCCTCTCTGTAACTCTGACATTCAAATAAATAAATAAATAATTCTTAAAAAAAAAAAACACTCTAGGGGCTGGCACTGTGGCATAGTAGCTTAAGCCTCTGCCTATGGCACTGGCATCCCACATCAGTGCTGGTTTGAGCCCCAGCTGCTCTACTTCTGATCCAGCTCACTGCTAATGATCTGGGAAGGCAGCAGAAGATGGCCCAAGTTCTTGGACCCCTCTACCCATGTGAGAGACCCAGAAGAAACTCCTGGCTCCTGACTTCAGATCTGCCCAGCTCTGGCTGTTGCGGCCATTTGGGAGTGAACCAGTGGTTAGAAGACCTTTCTCTCTGTCTCTCCCTCTCTGTCTGTAACTCTGCCTCTGAAATAAATAGATAAATTAAAAAAATAAAAAATAAAAATGCACTCTAACACATAAACCAAAGACAAAATATTGAGAGAAATTAAAAAATACTTTCAACTAAATAAAAATGAGAACACAGTGTTTCAAAATATGTGGGATACAGTGAAAGCAATGATTGGAGCCAAGTTTATAGCACTGAAGGCCTATATTAGAAAACAAAAAAAAATATCTAAAGCCAATTGCCTAAACTTCCACTATAGGAGACTAGAAGAATATGTTGAATATGTTAAATCCAAAATAAACAGAAGAAAAGAAATAATAAAAATTGGAACATAAATCAGTGACATTGGAAACAGGAAAGCAGCAGAGAAAATCAGTGAAATTAAAAGCTAGTTCTTTGGGAAGATCAATAAAATTGATAAGCCTCCTGTCAGGTTGAGAATAGGAGAGAAGACAAATTAGAAGTGAAAGAGGAGGACATTATCACAGGTCCCATGGACATTAAAGGATATTAAGGATGCCGTGACTCTGTGTGTGCCTACAACTTTGATAACCTAGGGCAGTATGGAATAAATAATCGAAAGATAGCATATGCTAAAACTCATACAAGAAATATATAGTGTGAATAGGATTGTCTGTAGGCGTTGAATCAATAATTAATAGCCTTAGAAAACACAATGGGCCAGTGCCGCAGCTCACTAGGCTAATTCTCGCCTGCGGTGCTGGCACCCCGGGTATTAGTCCCGGTCAGGGCTTTGGGTTCTGTCCAGGTTGCTCCTCTTCCAGTCCAGCTCTCTGCTGTTGCCCGGGAGTGCAGTGGAGGATGGCCCAGGTGCTTGGGCACTGCACCCGCATGGGAGACCAGGAGGAAGCACCTGGCTCCTGGCTTCGGATCGGTGCAGCGCCAGCCATGGCAGCCATTTAGGGAGTGAACCAACGGAAGGAAGATCTTTCTCTGTCTCTCTCACTGTCTAACTCTGCCTGTCAAAAAGAAAAAGAAAAAAGAAAAAACACAAACGGCCAGGCCCTGATTCTCTGGTGAATTCTGCCAAACATTTAAGAAAACTGCTGATTTTCTATAATCTCTCAGAAAATAGAAGCAGAATGAGTATATCCTAACTCATTCTAGGAAGTCAGCATTACCCTAAAATCGAGACCAGAGACCCTACATGAAAAGTAAAGTACAGAAGTATATCTCATGTACATAAAGGCAGAAATCCTCGATAAAAAATTAGCTAATCAATCCTCTGCCTGAGGCACCAGCACCCTGGGTTCTAGTACCAGTTGGGGCGCCAGTCCTGTCCCGGTTGCTCCTCTTCCAGTCCAGCTCTCTGCTGTGGCCTGGGAGTGCAGTGGAGGATGGCCCAGGTGCTTGGGCCCTGCACCCGCGTGGGAGACCAGGAGAAGCACCTGGCTCCTGGCTTCGGATCAGCACTGTGCGCCAGCCACAACACACCAGCCGTAGCGGCCACTTTGGGGGTGAACCACTGGAAAAAGGAAGACCTTTCTCTCTCTCTCTCTCTCTCTCTCACTGTCTAACTCTGCCTGTCAAAAAAACAAACAAAAAAGCTAATCAATCCAACAATGTACAAAAACCATTGTACCGCCAACAAGTGACGTTTATCCCATGTATTCAAGACTGGTTCAACATTCAAAAATCAGTGAATGTAATTCATCTTATTGAAAGATTAAAAAGAAAAGTCACATGATCAAATCAATGGATGCAGAAAAGGCATTTGATAAAATCCAACACCAATTCTATTCCTAGTAAAGAAACTAACTCTATTTGTTTTTGGTAATTAAGAAACTAGGAATTGAAGGGGAACTTCCTTAATAAAGACTATCTACAAAATACCTGCAGGTAATGACATACCTAATAATGGAAAGCTGAAAGCTTTCCCACTAAAATCAGGATAAGGCCAAGATGTCCCTCTCACCAAGTGCTTTTCAACATTGTGCTGGAAATTCTTGCTAATTTAATTAGTCAAGAAAGGGAAATAAAAGAAATATAGATGGGGAAGGAAAAATAAACTGCTTTTGTTTCTATATGATATGATCATTTATGTAGAATATTGGAAAGTGACAAAAGAGGATCTTGTGATTATAACAGGGTCTCAGGATACAAGCATAATACACAAAAGGCAGTTACGTTCATATGTGCTTACAAAGAATAATTGAAATTTGAAATTAAATGCAGAATACTGCCTCAGAATCAGCCCTGAGCCAAGTCAAATCCAGGAGCCTGGAACTCAGTCTGGGTCTCTCATGTGGGTAGTAGAGACCCAAGTTGTCACTTGCTACCTCTCAGGGTATACATTACTGGAAACTGGAATTGGAAATGGAGCCAGAACCTCAATCCAGACACTCCTGTACGGGATATGAGTGTGCCAACTGGTGTCTTAACTGCTGCATCGAAGGCCACCCTAGGTCTGATTTCTTTTTGGTGGTAGAAATGACACAAGTGTTGCAAGATAACTGTGTAATCAGAAGTGAATCTAAACTTGTTGTACCCTAAATTACTGTTTTGTTTTGTTTTGTTTTGTTTTTTTTTTTAATTTATTTGACAGGTAGAGTTATAGAAGTGAGAGAGACAGACAGAGAGAAAGGTCTTCCCTCCGTTGGTTCACTCCCTAAATGGCCACCATGGCTGGCGCTGCACCGATCTGAAGTCAGGAGCCAGGTGCCTCCTCCTGGTCTCCCATGGGGGTGCAGGGGCCCAAGCACTTGGGGAAGAGGAGCAACCGGGACTAGAACCCGGTGCCCATATGGGATGCCAGCACCACAGGCAGAGGATCAGCCAAGTGAGCCACGGTGCGGCCCTCCTAAATTACTGTTTAAACATTTATAGTATTTCCCAAAATGATTGTTCTGTAAGGTGGTTATTAGTAATTTATGGGGGCTGGTATTGTAACATGGCAGGTTAAGCCGCCTCCTGTGATGCCAGCATGGGTGCTGGTTCATGTCCCTGCTGCTCCACTTCTGATCCAGCTCCCTGCTATTGCACCTGGGAAAGCAGAAGAACATGGCCTAAGAACTTGGGCCCCTGACACCCACATGGGAGACCTGGATGAAGATCCTGGATGAAGATCCTGGCTCCTGGCTTTGGCCTGGTCCATCCCTGGCCATTGCAGCCATTTGGGGAGTGAACCAACAGATGGAAGATCTCACTTTCTGTCTCTCCCTCTCTCTGTAAATCTGCCTTTCAAATAAATAAATCCCTTAAAAATAGTAATTTATGCAAAAAGTATAAAAATAAACTTGTCACATTCATCAATAAAATTCTACCTTAAAAATCAAAATCCCCCCAAATTAAGAACATTATGAAGAACTACTGAATAAAAATAGGATACTGTCATAACAACCTGACTGATCTTTGCTCTCGGAAGCTATGCAGGGTTAGTTAGCTCTGATTAGTATTTGAATGGGAGACTGCTTGGGAATACCAGGTGCTGAAGGTTTGGGGCTAGCATTGGGCTTAGCAGTGAAGATGCTGCATGAAACAACCACATGCCATATTGGAGTGCGTGGGTTCAAATTCTGGCTGAGATTTTACCTTCCTGTTGACACATGCCCTGGGAGGCAACAAGTAATGGCTCAAGTAGTTTTGGTCACTTTGACCTTCATGGGAGACCTACTTTGAGTTCCTGGCTCCTGGCTTTGGCCTGTCCCAGCCCTGGTTGTTGCAGGCATTTAGGGAGTGAACCAACAGATGGAGGATTATTCTGTTTGTATCCCTCCCTGTCTCTTTTCAAATAAATAAAAGTGTTTTCTTTGTGTAGAGGTAGACTCATGTTCTATTTTAGTATTAATGTATTTTTTCTGTGCTTTTCTGTATGTATATGCACAAATGTACAAACAGTATTTTAGGTTTTTTTTTTTTTTTTTTACCCAAATGGGATGATACAACAAGTACTATTTTCCAACTCTCTTTAGCCATTTCTTTTCTGCATCATTCTTCAGGGCTTGTATTTCTTTATGCATTGTGAATTTCCAAAAGAAGGGTACATAATACTGCATTTCTCAACTTGACTATAGAATTCTTTATTTTCCAGGAGCCTCTTAAAGAACACTGTTTTAGGAAAATACTTATTTATAGTTTTTGCATAATATCTGGGAAATAGAGTGAGAATTTTGCTTTATGATCCAATGAGTCAGTTTATAATTCTAGATTGTTTCATGTGTGGCTTTCTTGTTCAGATTTGATAGTAAAGTGTATTGGTGAAGAAACCAAGTACGAAAGCATCAGACTTTTATTTGATGCCTTACAGCAGCCAGTACTCAACAAGCAGGTAAAAACTGTTAACACCAGTATTCAGGTGTTGGGTTGGTTTGGTGAATGACACAGTAGGATGTCTGGAATATATTTGGCTGTATAAATGACACTTAAATGGGGGCAATGCAATTCAGACATTCAAGAGATATATTTGTATTATTCCTTTTTTGCTGATTCCTTTTTCTTTATAACATGATTTTTAAAGTTTAAAATTGATATATATCATAGAAAATTTAGAATATATAGAAAATTCATTAAATAAAATAGAAATTTAAAAATCAGTAATTCCATCATTCAAGAATAACCAGACCTATCACTTTTACATGTATAGTCTATACATTCTGTTGAAATTTTAATACAGTTACACTTTTGTATTCTGTTGTTTTAAAATTTTTGTTATTTGTAAAGTATTTAATGTAAAAATGAGCTAGAGGAATAATAATAAACTGTCCATATGCAAATACATGTGTACCTGCCATGTATTTTTAGAATAGAACATTATGATATTGTTACAGCTACTGTTGTTCTTGTTTTACATTGTCATTCCCATCCCCTGCCTGCCCATTTAGAGGTAACCACATTTTATATTTTATGTTCATTGAAATTTTTTTGTCTGGTGTCTTAATTTTTTTTTTTTTTTTTTGGTACTTTAGCTGACTTATGTTTTATTGGACATTGTGATACAGGAACTGTTTCCAGAGCTCAATAAGGTTAGTGAAAAAGAGTTTTACATATATATCCACACACACACACACACACATATATATAAATAATTTTAAAAATTCATTAATTTGAAAGGCAGAGTTACACTCAGAGAGAAAGAGAGAGATCTTCCACCTGATAGTTCACTCCCCAAATGACTGCAATGGCTAGGAGTGGTCCAGGCCAAAGCAAGGAGCTTCATCCCTGTCTTCCATGTGGGTGCAGGGGCCCAGGTTCCTGGGCCATCTTCCGCTATTTTTCGAGGCACTTTAGCAGGGAACTGGATTGGAAGTGGAGCAGCCAGGGCACACACTGGCACCCCTGTGGGATGCCAGCATCTTGGGTGCTGGCACCCAAAAAGTAGTATTTTATTTGTTACTCTCTTAATGGTATGCTGACATTTATTTTAATGAAGAATATAAAAGTTAAAACCCTTGTGACTATGATTCTTTAAAAAACGAACAACCTGGGGGTTGGCATCATGGTACAGCAGGTAAAGCCACCACTTGTGACACCAGCATCCCAAATGGGTGCCAGTTCATGTCCTGCTGCTCCACTTTGAATACAGCTCCCTGCTAATGGCCTGGGAAAACTAGTGGAAGATGGTCCATGTATTTGGGCCCCTGCCACCCATAAGAAGGAGTTGAATGAAGTTCTTGGCTCTTGGCTTCTGCCTGGCCCAGCGCTGGCTGTTGGGGCTATCTGGGGAGTGAACAGAGGATGGAAAATCTCTCCCTCTGTTTCTCCCTCTCTCTTTGCAACTCTGACTTTCAAAATAAATAAAAAAATCTTTTTAAAAATGAGCAGTCTTAAAAGATGGCTTTTTATATTTTCTTTATTTGCCATAACAAGCATAGTGTGGGAGGATAGGCACTGAATAAGTTGTGCCTTTACTAATTACAAGCAGATAGGAACCCTTTAGACTTCCCATAGAAAGATGTGAATATAAATCCTAGCCCAAGAGTGCACCAAGCTCTTCAGATTATCATCTGCGGTACTGTATGATGTTTAAGTCAAAGACTTGAGTATATTTTGAAATCATTGAGTTTGTCTAAACTCGGGAACATAATGTGAATTGGAATTACCTTGTGGTAATAATATATTGAATCTTAAAGATTTTTAGTTTTGAATGAAGACTCAAGTTGTTATTTTCTGTTTTTGTTTGTTTGTTTTTTTGTTTTTTTTATTAGTCTCTGGTTGGGTGAAAAAGTTATTGTTCAAGACTGGCACTGTAATGAAATACTATATATATATAGCATAGTGGGAATCAAGTTTGGACTATTTACCTTAATTATAAGTTCTCAAATTATATTAATACTAAGTGTATATTAAAATAAGGTGGAAAATTACAGATATTTTATGTATAGTTTCCATTGGAATTAATACCAGGAAACCTTCAACTCTGATTTAGGCTTTTTAAGGTCATCACTATGATGCCATTATCTAATTTCTAAAACATAGGTATTATCTGCTGTATCTACCAGCTAATTTCTTTTGTGTTACGGTATATTGTGTCTTAGGTTAGAATTTTATGTACATTAGTGCTGATAGGTAACTCACAAATGAACCCAATCATATTTTCTTCTATTAAATGAATTTATTTTTACTTTAGGTGCAAAAGGAAGTTACCTCTGTGACGTCCTGGATGTAAACATTTGGATTTAGTAGTAGTAAATAACCAGTTAAGATTTCTGCTGTGCTTGTGTAGTAGAAATGTACTTTTTTTCTTTTATTTTTATGTATATCATGTACTTCAGTGTCTGAAATTTTTAATTTTTTTGTTTTAATAAAGACTAAATAACAATGAAAAGTGGTTGGTTTCAAATGTTTAATTTTAAACTTGTTACCCAACTTTTATTGAATGTAATCATTTGTTATTGCCATTTTTTAAAAAGGAGAAAATTCACATTCCTCTTAGGGCAAACAGATAATACTGATAACCTTTGTGTTGTATTACTTTGAAAATAATTATGCTTAGTATGGAGAAACTTGAATAAGATGTGATTTTTCTTATTTGAAGTTAATATAATTTTTTAAAGATTTGTTTATTTATTTGAAAGAGTTACAGAGAGAGAGAGAGAAGGAGAGGCAGAGAGAGAGAGAGAGAGAAAGGTCTTCCATCTGCTGGTTCACTCCCAAGATGGCCGAAATGGCGAGAGCTGCACCAATCTAAAACCAGGAGCCAGGCGCTTCTTTCCAGTCTCCCACATAGGTGCAGGGGCCCAAGGACTTGGGCCATCTTCTACTGCTTTTCTATAGCAGAGAGCTGGATCAGAAGTGGAGCAACTGGTATATGAACCAGCGCCCCATGGGATGCCGGCACTGCAGGTGGCAGCTTTACCTGCTGTGCCGCAAGCGCCGGCCCCTGAAATTATTACATTTTAGTAGATTTGTTTTGCTTTTGCTTTTCTTTTTCTTCATGGCTAACTATGTATCTATAAATTAAATACCCTATATGAGATTTTCACAATAAACAAGACTGACAGGTTTTAGCGCTGTTAGGCTTGAAAACTGAATACTCCCAAATATTTGTGATTATATGGTTATGACTTTGTTTCACTGAATTGTGTTTAACTATATTCCAAAGCTCATATGAACAGTTTAGGCAAGTATATTTTTTATCTATCCTCTTTATTGTCTCTTCAATAGAAAATTATAGAATTAACTGTTTTTCTTCAGGAATGTTAATTGAAAGAATATTTTAAAAGATTTCAATGCTTAACCTTCTGCTTACAATTCCTTGCCATGCTATGCTTTACTCCTTGAAACAAATTTGTCAAGCTGGGGCACTTTCCATTTGTTCATTGTTTGTAGTATTCATTCCAAATATATTTATTGAGCTTCAACCGCTAAGCTGGGTAATGAGGGAACTTTGAATATAATTTGGAACAGTAATACATCCAATTTTGCAGCCTGGAAGGATGATAATTAGATTACCCAAAGAAATTGCAGAGGAGACCTGAGCAGCTTAGAGTAATAGGCATCACCCAAGACAAAGACACAAGTTCCAGAAATTCTCACAAATGGAAAGGAGGCTGCCAAGTTACTTGATTTGGAGATTTAATTTTTTAAAAAAACTATTTATTTATTTGCTTATTTGAAAAGTGGAGTTAGGGAGGGAGGGATGGAGAGGGGGAAGAAAGAGAGAGACAGAGAGAGAGAGGTATCTTCCATCCTTGGTTTATTTCCCAAATAGCCACCTGCAGTGGCCAGGGCTGGGTCAGGCTGCCAGGAGCCTGGAGCTTCATCTGGGTTTCCCACATGGGTGGCAGGAACTCAGGTACTTGGACCATCTTCCACTTCTTTCTGAGATGAATTAGTAAGGACTTCAGTTGGAAGTGGAGCCGCTGGGACTCCACCCACCACCTACATGGAATGCCACCACCACAGGTAGTGGTTTAACCTGGTATGCCACAGCATTAGCCCCTGGAGATTTAATTTTTAAAAAGTGACTTAAAGTCTTAAAAAATTATGAAATTGAAATTTCTTTTATAAGGAAATATGATAGCCTAGACAGCTCATAGCAAGAGTCTCAGGTGATTGCTGATGTCATAAATAAGAGTGCCAATTGTTAAATCAACAACGGGAGTCACTGAGTACAGGCTCCCCACGTAGGATCTCTGTCCTTAATGTGTTTTACTATGAAACTTAAAAACAACACTACTAGTCGAACAATGCCTTATACCTTGTGCGGTTGTGTGAGTGCAGCCTGTTGAAATCCTTGCTTAGTGTATACTAAGTTGATCTTCTGTATATGAAGGTGATTGAAAAAGAAACTCAATGAAGGGCGGGATGGGAGAGGGAGTGGGAGAGGGGAGGGCTGCGGGAGGGAGGGAGTTGGCGGGGGGAGCCACAACAATACACAAGTTGCACTTTGTAAATTCACATTTATTAAATAAAAAAAAAACTTATGGGGGGAAAAGCCATTGTAATTCATAAACTGTACTTTGGAAATTTATATTTATTAAATAAAAGTTAAAATATATATATAATACATAATGTAGTATAACATATATATTACTATATTCTGTACTTTTGTGTGTACTAATAATATGTATGTAGGTAGAGACCTGTATATTGTGCAAATAAAAATATTAAGCTACCAAAAAAATAAGGAAATGTAAGAGGCCAAGAGAGAGCGAGAGAGAGGTCTTCCATCTGCTGGGTCACTCTTTTTTTTTTTTTTTTTTTTGACAGGCAGAGTGGACAGTGAGAGAGAGAGAGACAGAGAGAAAGGTCTTCCTTTGCCGTTGGTTCATCCTCCAATGGCCGGCGCACTGCGGCCGGTGCACTGCGCTGATCCGATGGCAGGAGCCAGCTACTTCTCCTGGTCTCCCATGGGGTGCAGGGCCCAAGCACTTGGGCCATCCTCCACTGCACTCCCTGGCCACAGCAGAGAGCTGGCCTGGAAGAGGGGCAACCGGGACAGAATCCAGCGCCCTGACTGGGACTAGAACCCGGTGTGCCGGTGCTGCAAGGTGGAGGATTAGCCTAGTGAGCCGCGGCGCCGGCCCTGGTTCACTCTTCATTTGGGCACAATTGCCGGAGCTGTGCCAATCCAAAGCCAGAAGCCAGGAGCTTCCTCTGCCCATGTGGGATGCCAGCACTTGAGGCCAGGGCATTAACCCGCTGCACCACAGCGCCGGCCCCAAGAAACTTTTTCTTTTTTTTTAACTGATTTATTTTAATTTTACTATAGAACATCAACATAAAGTTCTTACATTTAGAAGGCAACTCTCCTGTTAAGAGGGCAAGTGTAGTTCAAGAAGCAGAGGTAAGTGGGAGTAGCTTTCCCTGTGGCAGCACTGAATGGAAGCAAAGTGTTTTGTTTTTTGAAGATTTATTTATTTCAAAGTGTTAGAGCCAGAGAGAGAGGTCTTCCATCCACTGGTTCACTCCCAAGAGAACCGCAATGGCGAGCTGATCCAAAGCTAGGAGCCAGGAACTTCTTCCTGGTCTCCCACAAGAATGCAGGGACCCAAGGACTTGGGCCATCTTCTACTGCTTTCCCAGGCCTTAGCAGAGAGCTGGATTGGAAGTGGAACATCCAGGACTCTAACTGGTGCCCTATGGGATGCTGGCACTGCAGGCTGGAGCTTTAACCTGCTGCGCCACAGCTCCGGCCCTAGCAAAGTGTTTTTAATGGCAAGTTTATCTCTGCATCCCACTTGCCTGTCTGTGATCTAATTGCCTCCTTTTCCCAGCTGTTAGGGGAACAACTTTTTTCTACTGAACAACTATTAGCAGTCTAAACTCTTCTTCCAAGAAATCTACCCTTTCCTTTGCCAGTGTGATAGAATGTTTGTGTCCCTATAAAACACCTGTGTTGAAACCTGAACACTACTGTGATGGTGTTAGGAAGTTGTGTCTTTGGAGGCTCTTGTGACTGAGATTAGTGCCTTTATAAAAGGTTACCTTGCCTCTTCCATGATGTGTTTGAAGTTCCAAATATGAGCCAATAAATAGGTCCTTACCAGACAGCAGACCTGCCAGCACTTTCATCTTAGACTTTCCAACCTCTAGAACTGTGAGAAACAACATACCTGTTGTTTTTAAGCCACCTGTTCTGTGATATCTTTTACCACAGCCCAAATGGACCAAGAGAGCTATCAAATGGCTTTAATGTGTGTGATTGATCAAAGAGTAACAAAAGTGGAATATTTTAGATAGTATGCTTGAGGAAGATTCTTAGTCATAGAACCAGTTGAGATGTTAGTTAAAATCTGCAATGCGGCCGGCACCGTGGCTCACTAGGCTAATCCTCCGCCTTGCGCTGCCGGCACACCGGGTTCTAGTCCCAGTCGGGGCGCTGGATTCTGTCCCGGTTGCCCCTCTTCCAGGCCAGCTCTCTGCTGTGGCCAGGGAATGCAGTGGAGGATGGCCCAAAGTACTTGGGCCCTGCACCCCATGGGAGACCAGGAGAAGTAGCTGGCTCCTGCCATCGGATCAGCGCGGTGCGCCGGCCACAGCGCACTGGCTGCAGCGGCCATTGGAGGGTGAACAGCGGCAAAAGGAAGACCTTTCTGTCTCTCTCTCACTGTCCACTCTGCCTGTCAAATAAATAAATAAATATCTGCAATGCTAACTTGCAGCTTTTATTACTGATACAGTTCTTTTTTTTTTTTTTAAGATTGATTTATTTATTTGAAAGTCAGAGTTGCACAGAGAGAGGAGAGGCAGAAAGAGATAAAGAGAGAGGTCTTCCATCTGCTGGTTCACTCCCTGCCCGCAACGGCCAGAGCTGCGCCGATCCGAAGCCGGGAGCCAGGAGCTTCTTCCTGGTCTCCCACACATGTGCAGGGGCCCAAGGACCTGGGCCATCCTCCACTGCTTTCCCAGGCCATAGCAGAGAGCTGGATGGGAAGTGGAACAGCCGGGTCTCCAACCGGCGCCCATATGATGCCAGGGCGTTAACTCACTGCACCGCAGCTTTTATTTTTAAAAAGTAAGCACAGAGCTCAAAACTGTTTCAGACGTCAAGGAACTTATGATCCAGAGAAAGGATACCAGTGGAAAACCATCAGAAGTTACCCTTCAGTTATATTGTACAGGTGTTTGAGAGAAGAAATAACTATTAAAGACCAAGGAGCATATTGTCAATTTTATTGTTTGGAATCTACCATTTCAGAGTGTTTCAAGGTCATTTTCATACCACTATGCAATACATATACATGTATTTAGAAAACTTAGAAAAACATTCTTTAAAAATTGTACTCTAATAGGATTTATTTTACTGGCCAAGGGTGAAAAGTGTACCTCAAGTATACCTTTCTAATTTTCTTCATGAAATCTTAAAAACATTTGTTTGTT